TTGCATTCCCACAACATCCCTACTTCAACAAAATACCGAACCATAATAGGAAGCACACAATGTGTGTGCCAGCCCGGGCCGAGATCTACCACAAGAAACATTCCAGTAGTATTTTGATAGTGTTAGAGTCCCAGGCTGTCGAAAGCCATCATGAGAAATTAAAAGAGAGATACCTACTTCCAATGTTCGCTTGCCGCGGTCGAAGTGCAATAACAAAGGGGAAAACTAAATAGATTACGCTTTTTGCGTTGCGTGCCGCAACACATACACTCCTATAACATCTTCAGTCTATCAAAACACCAGAATACTATCCAATTACGATTATTTCTGTGGGTGGGTTGAGATCGAAAACATTGCAGAAGATCTTGATGTCGCCAAAGTCCCGGCGTCGTATAACACCGATTTTTTGCTTTCTTTCTCGTCGTTGGGGATCACGAAACATACGGCAGCCCAACGCATGTAGGGCCGGCTAAGCTGAAGTCGAAAAAGCACTAGGTTGAGGTGTGAAATGCGTATAAAGTCTCCGTTCCGTGGCCTTGACTTCTTGCTTCTTGCAACACTCTCAAATTGTCAAAATACTAAGAGCGATCTATTCCAAGACTATGTCTGCGGGCGCGCTGAGATCCAAAAAGGGTCCAAGTCATCGCCATGCTGCCGAAGTCATGCTCTCCAGATTGTCTACTTTCGCTTTCTTCTCGTCCAGGAACCCACATGAGTCTCTGGTTGAGCTCTTCGAAGAAGCAACCCGTATCCTGAATGCATATAAAGTCTTCGGGGCTTTGTCTCCTGGCTTCTTACTACATTTCTATTCTGCAAAATACCAAAACGGTACATGGCCTGTCACATGTGCGCGAGTGGCTGTGTTGAGAGCAAAAAGAAGTAGACGAATTTGTCATGTTTTGAAAAGGTTCTACAGCCAGTCGATGTGGTGTTCCAGCGAGAACGACAAAAGCCACCAGAAAAATTGTGCAAAAGCGCCAAATGAGACTTCCTGTGTGCGTGCTCGGTCTTCAGAAACTTCATTATCGGCAAGATGTGCTGTCGAGCCTCGATTGTGGAGATGCTATATAAGCTTCTCCAGCCCGACAGAGCTTTACTCTTTTCACATGAATTCCCCATTGTTTCCATCAAAATCAAAAAGGACTTCGCGACATGACCTGCCTTCGGCTGGCGTCTTTCAAAAATGGTCCGTAGCATTATGATGCTGCAAAGTGCATCGAACATCTCGCATGAGACTCTCGGATAGAGAACGAAAACGAACCAGTACTGTCGCATGAGAACTTGCTGGCGCTTTTGTGGATATCTGCCGCGTCGTTATGAGACTCCACTGATCGGCGTTAGTTGTGATGGCTCTATAAATACCTCCTCGCTCTTGCAGCTCTTCTATTCTCACCAAACCTTCTTTGTGGTCTTTTCAAAATGGCATACCCCTCGAGTTATGTCCTGCGCCTGTCCAGTACCTTTCAAAACGACCGGATGACGCCTTCATGCTTCAAAACCCAACAAGAATCGTTGCATGAGTCCTGCGAGAGTTGAGACGAACTTGATCCCTACCTTACCTATGGAAACGCGCCACGACCAGGTTGAAGACCGTGATGGTGCACCTCAGTATGGCTGAACATTCGAACTGGTCTAGCTATAGCTCCACTAGGGGAGTATAAAAGGACCTCTGTTCTTGCAAAGCTCCTATTCTTCCACCAACACTCCTATTCGTTATCTCCAAAATGAAAAGCGCACCTTGACATGTCCTGCGTCTGCCGGCATCTTCTAAACAAGCAGTACGAAGCCTTCATGCTTCGAAAATCAGCCGCTTCTTCCGCCATGAGCATTTCAAAAGACTGAAACATGATACTCCCGAGACCATGGAAATCCGCCGCCAATCTTCTGATTCATTGTCGGCGCGAGGTCGAAGCCTCATATAGTCTAGTCCTGACTCTGCAACGACTACATAAACAGGCTCTCGCCCTCACAGGGCTTCAATTCTTCCACAAACATTCTTTCCTACTTTTCTAAAAGTGCGATGGGATTCAAAAATGTCCTGCGTCTGCCTCTTCGTTTTCAAAATGTCGCGACGTCAACTGAATGATTGGAAGCTTCGCGAGCGTGTTGTCAAAACATCATTGCAGTCCGCAAACGATGTAGTGCGGCCAAAAGAGCGCGCTGAGCCGTACATGTATTCCTCTTCCAGATTGTTCCAACGGCCGGTTTGTCGTACTGAGGTTCAAAACGCGCAAAAAAGGCCTGCATGGAGAGCACTCTAGATCGAGTGCTTGACTAGATATGAAAGCAGTCTTTCTGCTTGAGAAACTTGTCTTCCGTATTCCACAATCCAAGTTACTCCGCATCCAAATGAGCAGACCACCTACCTGTGTCAGTGTCCGAATCGCGTCTGACTAAAGGCACTGGCTTCATACACATGTTTCGGACCAACTTCTCCCAGTCATTCGAAAAACAAGTCTTCAAAATACATGCTGGAGTAAGCAAACGTAAGACGGACTTTGCTATGTGCGTCCAATCTAAATCCTAACCAAAAAGGACATATGGTTCTCCCCTCGGGCAGGATTTTGACTCGCCAACTTGCGAGCAGGACTTCTATCGAAAATAGTTAAGCTTCATGGGCGGACCCGTCCGGCTGGGTATAAAAGCTGTTCTTTCGATCGAGTACCTTCTCAATCTTATCCAACTCTTCGACTTCCACATTCCAAAATGGCAGCACACATCTTCCATGTCTGCGTCTGGTCACGTCCTCCAAAAACTGCAGCAACAGTTTCATGGCGTTCGTCCGCTTCGAAAAGTATGCTTCGATATCGCGGTTACTCGCTGACGCCGCCGAGCATGAACCTAAAAAACGGAAAAGAGGCGAGCATGTGTTTGCCTGGGTGAGACCAGAAATCAATCTGGCACGCCGACATGCTGTTGTCTCTTCCAAAAACCACCGCAAAGTCTGCCATGTTCTTCCGCTTCTCCTGTAGGTGCGTTCCCATGCAACAGATTCGGAAGACTCTCGTGGGATGAGGAGCGCTATCATCTAGACAAGATGACAGCCTCGTCGCCCTGGCGAGTATAAGAGCTCTTCTTCTGGCCGCCCCCTTCCTCTTTCATACTCCACTCGTGGACTTCCCATTTCTCAAAAGAGTGGGATAGCTGCGCATGGCTGAGCTCTGAGTGCGCCGCATTCATCCAAGTGGTTCAACAAAAAGTCCATGATCTCCGTCGATCCTGTTCCTTCATTATTTTACCCGGCAGTATGCCTTGATCTTGATACACGAAAAAACCAGCGAGGATGGCGACATGATCGCCGTCGAAAGGGCATGGCCGAATGCTCATGCTTCTCCTCTTTCCCGCTCGGCACTTCACGAGAAATTTCGGTTGCCTCGAGTCATGTCATCGTTCTATGCCAACAGTCTTAATACTTCACCAACCCCTCCAAAACATCGAAAACCAAAATTCCAAGCTCACAATGACATATCCGCACCACCAGCAGCACGATCACTAATCACCCACCTACCCTTGTCTTCCTACTCACTCACCCGCACCCACACCCGCAAAACTCCCTCAAAAACCGACCCACAAAACCCACCTCCGATCCGAAGTTCACCCGCGGAGCTGCTCGGCGGCGATTTACGTACACGGTACAATTGCAGCAAACCGGTGCTATCTCCAGGTGCAGTTTACCGATGGATGGATCAGGGCGGTGAACGTGCGGCTCAGCGTCACATGAGGATGTGCGTCTTTCTCCGCTTGGAGCAAGCGGAGTCTCCAGTCTCCGCAGTTCTGTACGGTGGATGGTGCTGGTGTGGGCGGTCTGGGGAGGATAATTGCTGTGGGCGTGCAGCGGATATGGCGAGTGGTGGTTTGTATGGGGCATCGCAGAGGACATAGATATTGCGCGACTTTCCAAAGCATTGGCTATTCACATGCTTGCTGCGACTGCGATTGCGACTGCGACTACGACATGAATCTTGCATGCGGCTCAAAAGCCCAAGTTCAACGCCGTCCCGTTGCCGTGTCCTAGGCCGCCCTTCCCTTCTTTCGTCGGAGTGACGCATGCGCCTCCCCTTCGCTTCGCCTCGGCATGCATTAACGCGGCCGGCTGTCGGATCCTGCCTGCCCGTGCCCATCTAAATCCATTACATACCTAGGTAGTTACGCGACGTCGCGATCGGCTTCTGAACAAGCCCCAGCCAGAAGCCGAGTAGCATTACCGGCACAGCAAACCTCAATCAAGCCCGCCTCCCGCGCGCTTCTTGGAGTTCTTGGATGTCTTAACGTGTCGCCAACCAGGCCGGCCAAGTCCTGGGCCAACTAATCAATTAACAATATCGGTACGGCTGGCTGATGAGATTGGATGGATGGCGAGGAGACCAGGGACGCAGGACGGAGGAAAGAGCTAATGCGGGGAAAGACTTCTTTCGCAGGCACAAATCGCCGCTGGTTTCCCATCGCCAATGCGCCATATGAGTCGTGCGCGCAGACTAATCACAACACACGAGCTACCACCAGAAAACTCTGAAAGATGACTGGGGCATCATGCACGCCGTCCGTAAGTGGTCGGGGTAGAATGCAACGGTATTTGGTTGACGGCGAACTACCTGCATGCTAGACAGGCCAAGCTCCGTATAGTGGGGTAAGGTTACCACAAAAATCTGGAGTAACTGCAAAGTCGGAGGAGCCGACTTGTTTGTGTATATTAAGGAGGGGACCCCAGACTTCTCTCATAAAACGTCTGTTCAACTCCGGTTCCTTGAACGTCGCGACAAGGAACACTGCCCGGGAATTGGGACCGCTTGGAAAGACCTCTGGTAAAGATGGTGTCGACACAGTACCCAGCGGACGACAAGATCTCCGCCCACGATGCGGCGCAAATCTCCGAACACCACCACGCAGCGAAGGTTGGTGGGCTTGCGGCGAATATGAGTCCAGAGAGGAGGGCGGAGGTGGAGAAGAAGTTGAAGAGGAAGTTGGATGCGAGATGTTCGCTTTTTGTGTTGATTTATATCATGAACTGTGAGTACCCACCTCATCACCACGTACGACAAAAGGGACCATCACTAACGAGTGCATCTAGATCTCGACCGCAACAACATCGCCGCCGCCCGTCTTGGTGGTCTGGAAGAAGACCTCGGTCTGAGCCCCACGCAATACAGCACATGTCTGTCCATTCTCTACGTGGGATATATCCTGATGCAGGTTCCGTCCAACATGATCATCAACAAGATCCCGCGTCCGTCGCTCTACATCGCCGTCGTAATGCTCATCTGGGGCATGATCTCTACTCTATCGGGAAACGTGACAAACTTCGCCGGCATGGTCGCGATCCGTTTCTTCATTGGCTTCGTCGAAGCCGCCTTCCTACCTGGTGCACTGCTTATCCTGTCGAAATGGTACACGCGCCGTGAACTCACGCTGCGGAACGCGATCCTCTTCTGCGGAAACTTGATCTCAAATGCCTTCTCTTCCCTAGTCGGCGCTGCCGTACTGGGAAACATGGAAGGAACCCTTGGCCACCGCGCCTGGAGATGGCTGTACTGGATTGAGGGCGCAGCAACGATGCTCATCGCCATTTCCGCCATCTTCATCCTCCCCGATCTCCCGCACAACTCGAAAGGTTTCACCGAGGAAGAGCGCGCCGTCGCCGTCCTGCGCATGACTGAGGATGTCGGCGAAGCAGATGAAGATTCGGCTGAGCAATCTGCTTTCGCGGGTTTCTTCATGGCGGTCAAGGATCTCAAGATCTATGTTATGATGCTCACGTTCACGGCATACGTAGTTGGACTGTCGTTCAACGCCTTCTTCCCTACGCTTACACGCACCCTGGGTTTCGGCTACATCACCACGCTGCTCATGTCCGCGCCGCCATGGGCCTTCGCGTGCGTCGTCTCGCTCATCAACGCGTGGCATGCAGACCGGCAGCAAGAACGTTTCTGGCACATCGTGTGTCCAATCATGCTTGGTATCGTCGGATTCGTCATCTCGATGGCCACCTCAAACACCGCAGGCCGCTACGTCGCCCTCTTCCTGCAAGCCTCCTCCTACGCCGGCTTCATTGTCTTCTACTCCTGGATCTCCTCCTCGTTCCCGCGTCCCCCCGCCAAGCGCGCCGTCGCCATCGCCATGATCAACGCGTTCTCGCAGCTCGGCAATATTGCTGGGAGTTATGTGTGGAATATGTCGGATAATGGGTACAGGAACAGCTATGGGGTTGTTACGGCGATGTTTGGGGTTACGATTGCGGGATGCTTTGTTTTCAGGGTTATTCTAGTGAGGTTGAATAAGAGGTTGGATGATGGGACGGATGCGTGGGTTGTGCATGGGGATGTGGCGGAGCAGACGGCGGCTGTGGAGGGGGTTAGTGTTGAGGAGGGGAGGAAGCAGATGGGTGATTTTAGGTATCTTGTTTAGAGTAATTGGAGAGGTAGGAGGTTGCAGATCTAATGAAAGACTTCCAAGGTTCTATTCACCTAGTCCATCACTAATGATGATGTCGAAGTTTACTACCATCGCAACGCCAAGTAAGATGGGGCCGTGAATCTACAAGTAATACCCCATGACTAGATATGTAGTTGAAGAGCAGTGCATCCACCTCCCGAGGTCTTCGCAGTACAAATATCACTTAATATGTCGAGCTTGCCTCGCGCACGGACTGCGTTCACTATTTTGCCCGTCGCGCAATGACGCAGGTCCAAAACAAAGATCTCGTACTAGCTCCAACACAAGCTTCATCCCCCATCCCCACGGCCATCGCGCCCACCCCATCCCAGCCCTGCGCGCACAACCTCAAACTTTCTTTTCCCTCCCATCACCACCCTCTCTCTATTCACAACCACAACCTCAACGCGACAAATGGCACCACCGGCACTCATCGAGCGCACCGCGCCCGATGTCGTCCCAGCACCCAAACGCGCACCCGCGCGCTCGCGTCTGCCCACGGCGCTGCGCGTCCCCATTCTCATCAGCTTGAACATGGGCATCAATATGCTGCTGTGGGAATTTACGGCGAATTTCCTGCGCCCGGAACTGGGTGCTGTGAGCAAGGTGCCGCAGGAGGACGATGTCACGTCGTTTTACTCGCCGGCGGCGCGCGTCGCGATGCGCTGGGTTACTGTGTGGATGACGTGGTATTTTAACTATGACTGTAAGACGCGCCGAAATCACATTATCACAACATCGAGAGATGATGGGAATGATGGGATGCATTGCTAATGTTTACGGAAACAACAGTCTTCGACGTCTCCGCCCTAACCGTCCTAACCTACGCGCCCTTCACCTACCTCCTCACCACCTACTACGAGATCAGCGCCCTCACCGCCGCCGCCAACATAACCATCGAAGTCCTCTCCTTCGCCATACCCACATACCTCCTCCGCCCCCGCTCCATCGTCCACCGCAACAACGAGCCCCTGCGCAACCGCTTCCTGCTCAACAGCATCCAAGTACAAGTTTCGTCGTCTATGCTCGCCATCGCCGTGTACATTGTCGTGCTGTGGGCGGGCCAGACAAGCGGTTTCCTCAACACGTTCTTGGTCCAGTACTTTGACATTCCTACGTTGGAGGCGGCGCACAACGAGTCTCCGGTGTCGATTTTGGCGAAGACTATTGTGGTGGGCTGGGCGGCGAAGGCGTTCTTGCTTAATCCGAGTTTTGCGGCGCAGCGCTCGGGAACACAGACACCGGTTGAAGTTTTCGACCCGAGCACCGCGACGCTGCCAAAGACTATTGAGCACAACTTCTTCAACTATAGTAAGAGGACGGGGACGCTTATTCAGCAGACGGTTATTCTGAATGCGTTCTTGTTCGCGGGTACCGTTCAACGGTGTATGACGCTCATTGGCACCGATGTTGTTGGTGCTGTTGGATATGCGGGTGTCTGGGTTGCGGCGAATACCGTGGTTGCGCTGTGGTACGGTTGGGTCGGAGACACTAGCACAGACTACCAGCCGTTGTAGGGCTATGAAGGGAGTGAGGTATGGTGTGGAGCCGACGTCGGTGTATTAGTATGCGAAAGAGTTTGAGTGGGAGGGTTTATGACATTCACATTCTTATGGATGTCACAGCAGACAGGGTCTGAGAAGGGTAGCCGAATCTATCGGGTTCATTTGGTTTATTCAGTGGAGGACACATGGCTGTGTCGGCAGCTCTGTAGCTCATTTTGATACCAGTTATTTTACAGTTTTTTCGTTCCTCGAATCGTCTTGTCTTAGTCGTCTGCCTGTACTCTTTCGAGTATCTTTAGATGCATCATGATTGATAAGATTCCTCAGAATCATCAGAGTAGCAATAATCGGCGTCCAAGTTGTACGAGTAGTAAGTCTGGGGCCTTAAGGCGATGACTTCTCCCTGCAAGTGCTGGATGGAGTTGTCCTTTTCCTGTACTTGCTGCTGCAACTGCTCAAGAGCCTCATCACGCTGCTTGACCTTGGTGTTCAGCTCCTTGATAGTCTTGTCTTGCTCCTTGGCCTTAACCGTCAGCTCTTTCACAAGCTCTTCGTGGTCCTTGTAGTAGTCGCGAAGCTCTTGCAGCTCATCCTTCAGCTCTTGCAGCTCTGCTTCCTTGGCCTCATACGATGCAGAGAGGTCGTTCATATCAGCGCTATGCTCGGCCGTCTTGGTCGTGTAGGTGACCTGAAGCTCTTCATACTCTTCCTTCAGCTTCTGGAACGCAATGAGATTCCTCTTGATGATACGAGTGAGCTGGGCCACATAGAGAGCTTGCTTGGTCTCGTTGATATTAGAGCTTGAGATTTGCTGTTGAAGGTCCTGGATAGTCTCGTCTTGTTCCTTGACCTTAGCGTTCAGCTCATCGACGCGCTCCTCTTCGCGCTTGTTGTTGTCAATTAGCTCAACATGATCGTCCCGAAGCTCTGCCAGCTCAATCTTGGTCTCTTGGAGCTTGTTGTGCTGATCGACGTGGGCCGCGTTCCTGGCAGAGAGGTCGCTGTTGCGCTCTTGAAGGTCGCCATTGCGCTCCCGAAGATCCTTGATGACATCGCGAAAGTCTTGAGTCGCTTCCTTTTGCATGGCGATGGTGTCGCGTAGGTCTTTGGTCGTCTCATTTTGCATGGCGACGGTATCCTTGAGGTTGTTTATCTCGAGCTCTTGGAGCTGAAGGGCTGGACGCTGCGTCAGTGGGAGTGGGTTAGATGGCGGGGTCACATACCCAAGTCCAGATCTACTTCGCTGCGAGGGGTATCTTGACCTGCAGAAGGTGGGTATACGAGTCCGCTAGCCATAGCGGCGGCAGATGATGTCGGAAGAGGTAGAGTAAGATCAGTGGGTCGTAGCGGAGGCAGTCGCAGGCCCGCAAGAACTGCCGCCGGATCGAGGTCGAATGGCAGAGACATGGATAGAAAACGACTCCAGAGCAAGAGCGAGCGAGGGCTAGTAGATGTGAAGCTACCGATTGGGAAGATTCGCGCGTCCAAAGGTGGGAGCCTGAGAATGGTGTGGGCGGAGAAACAAACGCAGGTAAAGGCGGATATTGACTCCCACAGTGCGCCAAGCGAGTGGCTGACTAACGCTCTTTCTCCTTCACTTTTGATCTCAGTATAGCAGAAGATATCAGCTTTTGCGTCTGCAATGCGCGAGTGAGGAGGGAGTGAGGCGGAGACGTCGAGGTCGAGGTGAAAGATCGCCACTGCCGTCGCCGGGCATGGAGACGACAACGGCTAACGGCAAACCTCAAAGAAACCTTGAAACGAACTGAGAACCTTGGATCTTACAAATGAATTTGGTCAAATATAGCCGCCGCATCTTCACCGCTTTGGTCTTGCGAAAGACTTTGATGACACCGCCGATGGGACACCGACCTTGCCTGTTGCCTGTAGATGTTTCTCGACATGGCAGCTGCAAGACACCAGGAATCGGAGCATTGGAACAAGAGACGGGTGACTTCAGACACCAGTATATCGAAATAATGTGGGTGAAGAGGAAAGTGAGTGTCAAAACGGCAAGTGCGAACAGCGACATCTCGAGACAGACCAGATCGTGTGAATCTCGAACTCCGATATCTGCTGGAGAAATACATTACCTTGAAAGCTTACCAAACACCAGGATAAGTCAAGTGTAGGCCTTAATGGAGATACACGTAACGTCGCGACCGTTGCACTCACCTCTCAATGTAGTCTGGCAATCGTCGCATCGTCTGGCATTCGCTTCCGCGTTCTTGCTACACCATTCATCGTGAAACCGGTACCTTGATGCATTGATCTCGTTGCGAAGGTCGAATATGGTGTTTTCTGGACGTTGGTGCAGCTCTCTGGACACGCATCCTCGAACAATTGAAGTTCTAGCGTACCTGCCCCACGCGCCATCGTCACTGCCACAACCCAGCCATCAAAGCTCCATCCAAGCTTCCAGGCCTCCAGCCTTGCCCACAATTCTGCCTCACAGCCAAGCCCCAGGACGCAAGAGCCTCGCTCGATCTCTCAACCCATCTTGAAAACATCGTCATGCCTGGTTAGGCGTACAGCTCCGTACCCCACACTGACATGTTCACTGCCACACACACCGGGCCGTAAAAGCTCCACCAAGCTTTGCCCCTCGGCACATGATGTTCCGACAAAGACGCGCTCACATAAATAAACGCGACGGCCCGTCAAAAGGAGAAGATAGCTAAGACGGACAATTACCCCTCCAAAGCTATAGCTCTACGGATTTCCCCGCTACAACATCACCACCACCCAAACCACCAAAAGCTCCAATCACCTTCCCGTCACACAAACAATCAGACGTCTTAGCCCAACTTTCACAATGCCAATGTGGGCCGGTTTCACAGACCCCGTCCTCGCTCTCTCGGGCGGTCTCGCAAACGAAGAACAAACTCGCCGCAAGGTAGCCCGTGAAATGGCGATCAAGAACGGACAAGACCCGGATGCGCTCGACAAGAAAGACCAAGGTCCCCGCAGAATAGGCCAATGGCTTTGGCTAAAACCGGAATGTGTGCAAGAATACAAGAAATGCCATGCGGAAGTCTGGCCGGAGGTGCTGGAGCAGATTAAGGACTCGAATATTAAGGACTGTACGTTGCTTCATTTCTCATCTGAGCTACCCATCAGTCAGATCGAGCAATGTTTACTGACGTGTTCTATTAGACTCGATATACATGAACCTCTTCCCCCGCCCCATGCTCTTCGCATCCTTCAAATACGTGGGCGAAAACTTCGACGAAGATATGGCGCGCATGGCGGAGAACAAGGTCGTGCAGAAGTGGTGGAAGATGACGGATAAGATGCAGGAGAGTCCCGTCAAGGGCGCGAAAGGTAGCGCGACGGGGCCCGGGTGGTGGGGACAGACGGAGGAGGTGTTTTATGTGGAGTAGATAAGGCAAGAGCAAGCAAAGAGGGAGCGGAACAAGAAACAGAGGAAGCATGTGTAAAAAAGTGAAAGTCATTAGGTGCCAAGACAAGGTACTATAGGTATCGTCTCTTCCCAGAATCACGTGTTCTCTTTAAGCAGCTAGACCTATCTAGGCAGTTGCTAGGCTCAAAAGGGTAGCCTCCAAGCCGAATACACCCTCCAGCCTGTTTCTTACCAGCCATGCCGGCTCCCCGTGTGGATCTTCCAATACAAGGCTGTGAAACATTGACTTCGCGTATGCAAGTTGTCGCCAGGACTTACGGCATAGCCGGTCACCTTTTGTTGAAGGCTGCGTGCAGGCACACGCGACGCGTCTGGACCCCGCTGTTGTCGATGCTTGCGACTCTAGGCATCGTGTACTGCGGATTGTACGCGTTTGCTTGCTTCAAAGACTCTACTGATCAGGCTCCAAGGCTAAATTGACTAGGCAGTCGTTCTGAGGGGTTGCACATAGCAGTGTCGCGGTGTTGCGTCCTTGTGTATGCTGCTAAGTTTACGTGACTACTACCGCAGGGAACAACAAACATCAGCAAGTTCAAAACGCATATTGGAAAGAGGTAGGTCACTCAAACCTGTATCTGCGCGTTTCGTTGCGGTGGGCAGATAGTCCATCCATGCTTTAATCATACCGTATAACAAAGTACAATCTCAAAGACCAAGCCCAACCCAGGATCAGACCGCAGACTGAGTCAAAGGCGCACTCTATTCTTTCCGTCTATGCTTCGGTATCTTTGCCCCACGACTAGGTCTTGAGGGGCTTCTCTGAGCTATTCCAGCTCCTGCGCCCTAGAACCTTCCACAGTATGCAGTAGACCAGCATGATAGGGCGACGCCTGCCTGTTATGATACGCTGAGAAGCTAGTTCCCGTCGAACACCGGGAACATGCATGTCAAATGGCAGGTCACTTCTAGCCACAGAACCCTCGCTACTTCACCAATCTGATACCTACATGCCCACACCATCAGATGACGGGTTCCTGTCACCCTGTCATCACGCACCAAGGTCACTACCGCGATGCCGACCTGCAGCTCCATGCTATGTGCGGACAACACATCACTTCGTGGACAGTGCATATCTAGGTACGGATCACCAATGGAGAAGAGCAGACTTCACCGCTCTTACTTGTCGCCTGTTCCAGGACTGCGACAATGTGACATCTGACACGGGTGGTTGCGTGCGGACAGTGCAGCGGAGACGCCTGGTCCTCCATACACTACCTGGGTAATTCACCTGTGTAACCTGGCAGGGTTCCATGTTTGGTCGGGGTACGAGGGGATCCCACGCTCCAGTGCTAAAATAGAGTTTTTCCCGTGGCCAGATTCTCGTTAGGGTTAAGTTGATTGACTCACATCGAAGTTTAGCCCTCAGTAACAGAGCTGGTGTTACTATTGCACCTTACTTGAAAGCAGCTTTGTTGATGCTCTTCTACCTTGTGCATCGGGATCCTGAACAGACGATACCGGATCAATACTTCTCTGTTACCAAGAAAGCTTTTTGTTCATTTTGATGCACGAGTCTCGGTTCGTTTGTCCCGCTACACGATATGGATCGTGATCATACCTCACGACACCGCCCCTCTCAGCGTCCAGAACGAGACGATACCGATCGTTCTCAATCTCTATCGGTCACGCAGCGCCGTTCGCGCTCCCCTCTACCACTCCCTCCCAATGAGGCATATCGTATCAGAGATGTGTCTTCCCATCGTCTTATGGAGGAATCATCGACAGCAGAATCATTGGTACAACCTCGCTCTTCTATAAGTGCTCGGTCACGCGGTTCAGCCTTTACAGAAGCAACAAGTGCGCGGTCATCGTATCGATCGGGATTAACCCCCCAAACAACCAATACTCCGTCAATATACCGATATGCCACCCCAACATCGACATCAATAGCACGGCAACGCTTCGTAGCGAGGCATACTACATTTTCGCCTCCTTCTCGACCATCCGTTCCAGGCCAAACACACCCAGGTTTCTTGAGCGAAGGAAAGCAAGTCCGCGAATCGATCGAGACCAATGATGGTCGAGCCCATATCGAACAGCCGAGAGATGGGTCGGCCCAGCAGCCGAATCTTTTATCCGCTTCACCGACCGACATGCTGAAATTGATCGAAGACGACGAAAAACTCTCGATGCTGCTGACTCAAGGGTTCGGTAACAAACACGATCCCCATTCTGATCACAGATCAGAAGGCGTCGCCCTCCATGACCCCCTCCATGACCCCCTCCATGACCCAAGATACAAGGAGGCAGAGGTACAGTCAGGGAAGACCATCGCCTCTTTGATCGCTGCTATCAACCTTGGAAAGAATCATTGGCACAGTTCATGGGATCCACTAGCCGATGAGGCAGGAAAGTCTGTTTCACCCTACGTCAGTGGGCCGATGCGAATTGGCATTGTAGGCGAGACTGGGCAAGGTAAATCTTGCCTTATCGGAGGTCTGTTAGGTGACGAGGGTATAGTTCAAACTGTACGTCAACTGTTTGCATCAGCAGCTAGGTAGCTGAGGCTAAAACTTAATTAGGCAAAGAGTGGCGAGAGCCTTACCAGAGTGATTCTCGAGTACCATCACTGGAACGATCACGACTCACGTTTCAAATACCGCGCAATCATCTCTTTCCTCCCGTGGGAATCTGTACAGAAGCGGATCGAGACGTACTTCGAACACTGGAACCACGGGCTTTTGTCACATGAAGACGAGAGCGAGCATGAAGATGAAGAAGGAGATCAAAGCCCAGATCCCGCAGGCCCAGATTCTCCAGGGGCAGATACGGAAACAGCTACAGGGGTGTTCCAAGCACTCTTCCGTGGAGACCCCAGTTTTGAGGACGAAGAGACCATGAAGGACTATCTGTTGAGCAGTGAACGGTCCCCTGTGCGACATGATATACGAGATCGACTCATCATTCGCGCTCGCGACATGTATGATGAGCTTGATTGTCAGGATACAAACATATATAAACGAACCACCGCAGAGCTGTGGCATGAGCTTGCTCGATTCACGCATGGTCGCTCGGCCGATGACTCGAGAGGAGGTTGCGACGCTTGGCCCTTCGTCGAAGTTGTCAAAATCGGTGGCCCCTTTGCCCTGAGCGAGCACATTGTCATCGCCGACACGCCGGGTCGGAATGACTTGAATCGACTTGCGCGTGCCAGCGTGGACGACTACCTACCGTCTTGTTCGTCCGTCATAATAGCGTGCAACATTACTCGCATCATATCTGACGACAGCCTCCCCAATCAGATTGAGAAGATCCAGCATCACCGTCCCGTGACAGTAGTCGCTACATTCTCCGAGGTACGAGGAATCGATCTATCGGGACGCTCTTGCTGACTCCAAGATAGGACGTCGGCCTGATTCCCAGCAGGCACACTAAGCTCAGCCCAGGCGAGAAGCATACGTATATGAGGCTTCACGAGAAACTCAAACAGCTTGAGAACGAAGAGTTGAGCTCTTCCGCCGCTGAAGCTATACTACGCAACCAGTTGAAGCAAAAACATATCAAGAAAGCGTACGTGTGTGCTTGAGGATTCGAGCAATAACGATACTGATTGGAACATAGCATTGCGCAAGTGCTTGTTGAGGAACGCAGCCGGCGCGTGAAGGAAAGGCTTATGGCAGCAGCACGGGGCAAAGGCCGTCCTCACGCAGTGTTTTGTGTGTCCGCTTTCGACTATCAGCGTAACATTAGGGGGATTGCTGCTCACGATTCCGCCCTTCTTCCTCTCAGCCCCAAGGACACGGAGATACCTGCATTGAAGCAACATCTCATCTCGTTATGCTCGCCCATGCGAGTAGAAGAGCTAGTCCGCTATGTGGGCGCAACATTACCAGGTCTCATGCTTAGCATGCAGATGGGGATCAACAAACGAACTGATGTGTTCCAAATCAAAATCGAAGGTGGCGTCGAAAATCTGAGTAGTGTAAGTGGTTTAGAGTGCCACGAAAGCCAAACTAATACCGTCCCAGACATGTGTAAAGAAGGTCCATCGATGCATCGACGATGTATTCAGGGATCGAATCGAAAAGCCCTTACTGGTCACCTTGCGTACGCGGCTACCTGCATTTATCGAACGTGCTGAGGAACTGTGCGAAGTGTGGCTTCAGGTGGGATTTGAAAATATCTTAGAGATACCTGCTAACGCTTATAGTGGCATCATAATACGCACAAAACATTTGTCGGCAACCTAGGTAATAGACACCTTCTCATCTATAGAAAGTTCGACTGATGGCGTTCAAGGCAATTACAAAAAGCCTAGAAAGGGCAAGCCCAGTTGGAACCATCAGTTGCTCGAGCAGCACCGCATGAGCCTCAACCCGATTTTTCAGAACATCCATGAAGCTCTATGGAATAGTATCGAACCAGTGAAACGAGAAATTCTGTCAGCAATGGGGAAGCTAGCCGAGGACATTCGCAGTGAGTTGCCTATACGAAACTTGACTCCCTAGCTAACGATATGAAGAGCAGTATCCAGATTCTAGACCTGCTGAGCTAAACCTACTCCTCAACAGCATCTACATGAAATTTGCACCTGTTACCACGATAAAAACCAAGTGCATTACCAATCTGAGAACGTTCATCGAGTAGGTACTCGGCGAGCGGACGCCCCACTTCTTTTGCTGACTTCGACCGTAGGAAGCAGAGATTACGCTGTCTTACTGACACTGACGATATCTCCTACTTCGGGTACGCCATGATCGATGTATACAACAAGAGCAAAGAGACCAGGCGAGGAAACAAAAAGGAGGAGACACGAAAGGTCATGCAACATAGAACGTTCAAGAGACTGCTTCGCGACGAAGATACAACGCCATACCACGCGATTTGTGTAAAACTGAAGAAAGCCATCGATCGTCAAAAGCAACTGATCAAGGAGTACTTGGAGGAGAAGATTGAGTCGTTGTTCCAGGCCATCGGTGATGATCTGAAGCGATTGGGAGTGGAGGAGGCGAGCCTGGACCACGACGAAGACCGCGACGTTCGTGAGTCGATTGGCAGGACGCTTTCGAAGGCGAAGGAAGATCTTGGGACGATTGAGGCGTTGTTGAAGGAGAGCGGCGTTGATTGCGATGGTATCAAGGATCAGTTGACGTGACGATCTTTGTATGAATATGCATTAGATGTCTAACATCGGGTAACGAGATTCTATTGCTTTAGTTTTGTTGATATTCTTCCTCTCTAAAGTCAACTTCTGTATACTCACCGCACGAATCTGCCCACTACCTAGATACTTCCTATCGCGTCTAACAATGAACAATTCACCTAGGTACCGTGGTCTTCTACTCGCAAACGTATTAACTAACAGAGAATGGAACATCGTGTATAGATCATGCTGCTCGTGTTTCGTCAGGTTTGCGTCTGCGCTGTTGCATCGAGGATGCGCCAAGTATCCCTCGCGGGGATAGTGTGGCGTGCTGGCGAGATAGTGTGGCGCGTGCTGGAGAGACAGCGTGGCGCGTGCTGGGCTGTCTCGCCTTTGCCACGAACTATCTAGGTACGTTTCCAACAGAGGCCCAGAGATGGATATCATAAGGCAAACTATACGATTGCCCGCATCGAGGTCTGTACCAGCGCAGAATCAGTCATCGGCAAATCACAGTCATCACATACCCAACCACCCGAAGTACCTTCCAAGTCATTGCAATCGGATCATCACAAGACGAGCTCCCAAACAAGAAGATGCATCGAGGTCTGAAGCGATAGCTCTGTTTCGCAAAGCAGGAAAAATACGAGACCGAGCTGTCACTTTCGTGTTGAAGAAAAGCAAAAAGACAGCGGCACGCATGCTCCTATTTCGGGGCGCACTAGACCGCGCTAGCCACCAGCGCTAATACCTCCCTGCATCAGCCACCCAGTTCTCCCAACCATCCCATCTCTCCGACATCGACATGACACACGCCCACATATGCGCGCTCGACTCGTATGTGGAGACGACAGATGCTACCTGGCCATGATAAAGTTCCGGCCCTGGGGCCCGCTGTCAGGGTCTGGCTGCGCACGCTGCGCTACGGCAAGACACCCAGACCAATCGACCGCCGATGCGAATGTGAGGCTGTCACTTGGCGACGGGATCCACCGCTACTTTTTTGCTACGTATGATGTGCTGGGATCTGATTCAGATGCTAGGCTTTCAGGGACTGTAGAGATGCATGCAGTGTGGCTTGCGACTAGCAGGCTCTTCAGATGTTGAGTTGAGTATCCTGGTTGCTGTAACGAAGGCACTATGGAGACGAGATGCAATAGCGAGACTAGCGAGTTTGGTCTACGTCTACTTTCCGCGCTATACCAATTCGCATGTTATGCGCGAATGCGGTCGCGATCTATCTGCATTTGCAGTTACATGCTCTTCATTCGTAATCTAACGACACCCAGATGCTGACCAAGGCCAATCCAACACAACAATCCAGCAAAACAACCCCATCACAACTCCCGCTCAAACTCATGGCTCTGCAACATCGTCTCCCCCCGCCCATCTATACTAACCCTATGCAACCTCCCCACATTCTTCCCCAAATCCATCTCCACCAAACTATCCCTCCTCTCTCCCCTTCTCATCCGGGACGCAGAGCCCGTCATCTCCTGATCCACAATCTCCGTATCATCAGGCATAATCTCATCCTGCGGTACTTCTTCAATGCGAAACAAAAGCTGGTATGCCGGCGCATCGTCCGGGCGATTGGGATCCTTTGTATCTCGGAAAATCGTAATACTGGGAATATGTTTGAGCCCCAATTCCGCCTTGTGTTGGACCAGCATAAACGCTTTGTTTGCGCCGACAGGTGTGCCTAGGAGTGCGAGATACTCTTCACTGGACTCGTCTACTTGAACACCTGGCCATTCCGGTATATCTTTATAACCCTTGCTTACGAGAATTCGGTTGACGACGGGCACGGTTTCGGTGTTGATGATGTTGCTGCCGAACCAGTATTTTAGGTTTTTGGGATTGGGGTTGCGCAGCCAGAAGCCGGCCATGATGTCGGAGGCTTGGCGGAGGGCGGGGAGTTGGTCGGCGGTGAAGTCTCCAGCGTAGGTGTCCATGGCGGCGGGCCAAGGGGCAAGGAAGTTGTGGCCGTAGATTGCTGGAGAGGGGGGTTAGTGGGTGGTGGTGGTGGTGGTGGTGGTTGAAGGGATGAGGGGAGAGAGTAAGTACCTCCTTGTTCCGCGTTGAAGGCGAAGCGGTAGAAAGCCCCAGTAGCCTATGTATAGTTAGCCAGACTGTCCACGCTTGGCGTATCTCTTTTCCTGGAATACTCACGTCATACCACTTGTTTTCGTCTTCAATGAAGTAAGTCTGCATGTCTACCGGGAGCTCATAACCATCATCATCCACCGCGTCCTCTTCCATATGCTCGACAGAGTAACACTTGTTCTTGCCACCGAATTCCACTGGCTTGATACTCAGTCCAAGGTCATTTAGCGCAGCCTCGATCCTGTTATTGATCTCTAAGTTTGCGAAGTCGTCCGAAAAGTCGCAGTTGATTTCTGGGTCATAGTAGGCTTCGTGCCAGTACCAGTCCCTTAGTTCGGCTAGATGCATGTCAGTGTCAATGGCTGCGTAAGGATGGTGATGAAATGGGTAGAACCTGCCTTCAAGCGTTCCTTTCCACTGGCTTGCCGCTGATGGCGGATTGCGGTTTAGATAGTTGGGCCATTCTCGTCCCGCGACTTCATCCGGCATTTCCATGAGGCAACGGAGCCAGTTGCCCTTCTTCTTATACTTATCCCAGCTGGCATCGTTCGCGTATTCAGTGGGGTCGAAATCCACAGCAGTCTGGACTAGATTCGGCTCGGAGGCGGGGGCTTTGTCGTTGGTAGATGGGATGCTCACTGCGCTATCGCGACGATCTAGAAGGCTTGATGGAAAGACTGTGGAATTGGAGGAGCCAAAGGACACTTCGACATGCTTGCTGTAGACCAGCGGTACACAGACCACGGTAAGGAGAAGTGTAGCAATCTTCATGGCTGATGCGACACACGGATTTCGTTTCTCGGGGTATGGGTGTGAATTTGGTTGAGCATCGCATTACTCCAAGCGAGAGAAGTCAGGAGTAAACACACCAAGCGCTCCGTCATAGTCGTGAGTGCGCCTAAACAAGTGGATACAGTCGTTGATAAGAAAGCATACGCAGCGAGTGGCGATTGTTCAAGGTCGTAGTGTGCAGAGTGAATGTACACTCCGAAGGCGTCATCAAACTTGCTCAACCCCATAACTAATCACCGCCGTCCCATCGCCCCTATAAACACTGGCTTCATGCAATCTTTGCACATCGTTTCTTGCGTCGACCTCTGTCACACTATTGCTTCTCTTAACTCCCTCCCCTGACCTACTTTGGTACTTCGATGAGAGCGCTACAGACGAGACCCGCAAGACCCGCGATGCTTTGGAACGATCTCATGGATTTGTCATCTTGACGTTGATCAAGTCATGAGTCTTCCGGTCCACCATATGATCTTGGCTGGACATAGCGCGATGGGTGGGCACGCGCGGCGAACCGTTTTGGGATAAACTTGACAGTGAAAGAATGCGCACTGAGTGTATTGCGTGATTAGCAAACAGTAAAGAAGGCGGATCCTGAAAGGCAGCAGGTGCAGTACTTCACGCACTTCCCAGACACCGCGCGCCCACAGGAACTGGTTTACTGTTCGACATCACTACATCCCTCCTCTGAATCTCAATGGAGTCAAAGTCAAAACCACTCATGTTCTACAGGTGCGACAAACATCTAGAGAGGGGCAATAAACGCTTGAAATAGAAAGGATGCAAGACTGAATAAAGAGGACGAAACAATAGGAGATTTGGCATATACCAGAGGTTGCGGAAACAGCGAACCATTGACCAAAATAGACGAAGAAGACGGATATAACTTCTCGACTCAATAGCCGCCAACTCACGGTAACACCCTACGGCGACATGGTCGACTCGCCCTGCAATATCTCCATATAGCCCTCCTTTCTTCCCGATGCCTACCCCCTTTCCCACATATCAACTCACCCTTACCCTTAAGACGCAAGCTTACCAACACCATAAGGCTGAGTACCACATCGCCGCCTCAAGCATTCCAGAACAATGTTGGTCATACCGGCTCATCTCACGCCGTCATCTACCCGGCGCCGTGGTTTACGGGATGCCGGTCGCACAATACTGCATGCTTGCTTTTACCCGAAGCACGCCGAACCAAAAATAAGCAAGCAAGCAGGTTACGTTACTCGGCGCGATGGCGCTGTATCATGGATGTGCGCGCGCGTCGCGGGAACAAATGTTCGACTATGCTTAGGTGTACCGGAGTGGGCGTGCTGACTGCGCGGTGGAAAGGTTGGGTTACTAAGGGTGGGGATGAGTGGTGATGCAGGAGAGATAAGAGCGACCGTCGCCTCTACCACGCATCCTACACATGTTCGGCCATGCTAGGTGTACCGATGTTCGCGTGCTGACTGTGTTGCGGAGTCGAGCAAGGCTTGTGGTATGTTGCGCGCGTGAGACGGGCCGTAGTCTGCTTGGTGTATGGATGGGCCGCGCGGAGCGTCGCGGAACGACTGTATCAGCGCAACAGCTGAGGTCAGTCGTTGGTGTTTAGCAACAAACCGGAAGAGCTACGTGCAGTAATGGTGACCGCTTCATGTCATCATGGAATGGTAGTTTGACCAGTCAAGCTCGCTCACTAGGCGGTGGTGTGAGGGAATCCTGGATATTGGTACCGCGAGGGAGATGCCGTATTTGGTGTCATGCCCATGTCTATCGAGAACCCGAGTCCTGGGTTCATGCCACATGGAAGGCGTAATCGTACGAATGCAGTAGCTCTGCCGTAAACCTGCAACCGGTGCAATTGGGCTGACCGGGGGAATGGGGAATAAGGAAAGCTGCCGACACGATGATTGGAGACGCGACGGGTAACACATGCAGCCAAAAACCATCGCAATTGGAACGCCATTCCCATCCGAAGTACAAAGAGGAGTTATTCGAAACTAGCGTTTGGCGTTACTGGGAGGGCTGCAGCCGGCGCATTCTTTTCGGATATCGGAGGAACAAGAAAGTGTATCGATAGTGGCAGGTTATCCATCGTGTTCCGGAAGCGTAAATGTGCATCGCGCATGTGGAACGGCATCGTGTGTCTGAGGAGAGCTGATGTCACTGAAATTTTCCTAGTGTGCATCGAAGAACTCTGTTGCAGTCGACACAAAGCTGAGGAAGGTTTCTCTTTGCGCAGCGTACCTTGAACCTACCTGGTAGTGCTGACTGCACACGTGGACATGTCGGCGAAGAGCAGAGGAACTGGTGTTCGGCAGCTGCAGTCAGCCTCGGATGCTAGCATATTGGAGGGCAGCCAGATGACGCACGAGGCCTGGCGTAGCGAGCTTCAAGAAGGCGCACAAGAGTACCGGAGCAGCGGAATGATGCGAAAAGGTACATACTTCCGGATCGACGGCGGAAATTTTTCTGGTGCGACAATCATTGAGTCGCGAGAAATGTCGCGGGGCTGGCACGCGGAATTGCTCAGGGAACACGATCGGGGGAGAGGCGGCCTCGGACTGTGTAGCCCAAAGAGTAGTGATTTGGGCGCCAGCGCAAGGAGATCATCAGGGACGAGTGATGGGCTACGTGGATGTGAAGTCATCCTTGTTGATCGCTTTCACGCTGGCGTCCGGGGAGCTCTGCGACAAATCCGAGATGAAGCAGGTCTTTCAGCAGTGGCCTCGCAATAACCCGGCGCAACGTCTTGCCTGCTTGGACGTTCAAAGGTAGTTCCTACGTTACACTGTAAGGCCCGAATAGAGCTGCGTGAAACGCTATGAAATGCGACGCTCGAAAGCTGAATTGCCTTGTGTAGATGGCTCCGCCGGCTAATGGTACCGAATCCCCAGCCAGTACCTGTCAACATGACAGCTAGTGCGACGGTGCTCATGGAACTCTCCTTCTGCAGCAGCGCAAAGTTCGTACAGCGCACAGTTGGCCTTGAGTCGGCATGAATGCGCTGGTACATCGGCGAAGCGGCTCGCGGGCCCTCTTCCAGTAGTCAGGCGAAGGTCCACACAGAGCAGAATTCCACGTGTAGACAGGGTTCTCTTTGTACGCGATGATCCTTTTGGAGATGACAACCCTTGCTTCGCTTCTCATCGCTGGGACTGGCACGCAGATTGCAGTAGCGCGCTCAAAGAGGAAGTGCCAAAAGCCGTTCCAGGACCCACTTTCCCTCCTCCCCGCAAGGTCTAACTCACGATCACAATTTCGACAAAGTTTTCTGTGGAGAAATCCGTCAAACACCTGTCAAATTGCAAGGCGGTCGGAATTGACAGCGATGCTGCCAGTAAAACGTCGGTGGCTTGGACGGACGTTAAGAGGAAGATGACCTGACGGAGTTCAGACCCTGTCGATGTGTGACGACGCTGCACTGGTTATCGGATGATGGCTGTGAATCACGATCGCTAGGATAGAGTTGAGCGAGCATGGACTGAAGATCGCGAACGCTGTTTGAGCCCTCAACGCTCCCGCACTGATAGGCGTGAGGCAGTGGCAGCCCAACGTACGACGGGCGCAGGTATCAGCGGAAGACAGCGATCTCTCAGTACAGTACCGTACACAAGACGGTATGAGCAAACACGCTGGTCGAGCGCTGGGCGGTGTCGCGTGGCTTTCGGCATGTCTCTGCGTGAGGCTAGTGGATAAGGACGGGATGCCCTTGTCGCGCGTCTCAGCCTGATTGTGAAGCACACGACCCCTGTCGATACCCAGGACGGCGAATCAGGGTTGGTGCTGCTTGCGAATTATATTATTGGACTGGCATAACGGCTGCATTCTGGCAAATGTGTTTACGATGGACGGCGGGCTGTAATACGGAGGAATCCCAAGGGGGCAAGAGCGATGTCATCGTTCCTTCCGTGCCAGAAACAATGCGTCATGGCGACGGCTGGGCTCCGTGGTGGGTGAGCGAGTGCGTCAACGAGGCTGCGACGTGTAGGTTTTTTGGAGAAGCAAGCGATTGTGCGCGAAACCTTGCTGGTCATGATCCCGGGACGTCGAACGCATGCAGCATCCGTGTGCTTGGAGGCGCGGAAGGCTTGCAGTGATCCGCGAATGCGACGTGTCTGAGAACGACCGGCGGCCAAATTTCTTGGTCGTGAATAAGTGCGCATTCTGTGTCAGTTTGTCTGCGATGATCAGGGACAGCCTGGGAGTGAGGGCGACTCAGCGGGCGATTCATTCTTCCTTCCAGAGGCTTTCCAGAACAAACCGCAGGCGAGATTTTCGTGGCGCCGGGCCCACTCACCGCAAGCCGGGCAACGCTCTCATTACGGCACCTGGCGATGCTGCTGGCGAATTGCTTTGGCGGCCGCGGTGCAGAGGCATAGTTGTTTGCACGCCGCAGATGTGATGGTGGTGCTGGGCTGCGGCGAGGGCAGCTGCTTCCTCATCGCCACGCACGCGAGGGTTGGTTGAGGCAGGAGCAGCCCATCCCACGTGGCGCAACCCCGTCACAAGCAACGACAGGAAGCAAAGGCTCCAAGACAGCTACGGTTCATCAAACCACAAAAGCAAGCTGCTATGAATATGTCCCGTCAAACATCAGCCGCCACGGTCAAAGGCAAGTGCACTGCGATCCCGACAGCCAGTAACCCGGTTGGCTGGGAGGCATGGAGGGCAGACAGGGCTGCCAGAGAGGTGATTCAGCATAGGCAGTGGACCGGCCGGGGAAGGACATCCGGAAGTCTGTGTGGCGTCTCTGAACCTTCTCTTCTTGCTTCTGGCGCAGTCCAACAAACGCGGCACGAGTCGACGCCGCCGGTCAAAGCAGCGAGACGGGAGCGCTGACACTGTCTCATCTAAGCCGCCGTGTCTGGAAGCGCGCGGCGACAGCCAGACAAAATGCGATAGGGCCGCGAGCCCAAGTGAGAGCGCTGGGAGTCGCGCCTGAGAATCGCCTCCATGGTACGCCATGTTACGCCATGTTACGGTGAAAAGGCACTGAAGCAGTCAGCACAAGCACACCCTTCGCAGGTTGGCACCCCAGCGAAGCCGTTGGCATGGCTCTCGTTAGCGCCTGCAGGTACGGCTTTCTAGCGCGGCACTATTCAAGGGGGATAACCAGCTTGGTGGTAACAGTGCGCAGATCACCCTGGCTCCTGATGATGGCAAGGGAGCCTACCTTGAAACAGGCCGAAAGACCCGTCGCTCCCGATGCGCAATGTAGTCAGGGCTTTTGCTCTGAAAAGCACTGTCTCTCATTTCATTTGTCTCGCCGACAGCCAAGACCACCTTTGGCAAGTCAGTAACAGGCCCCCTTATTCTAGCCGCGAATATAGAAGCTTCAGGGCGCCCTTCGTTTACTGCCATCATCATCTTCACTCCCTTCAAACTACCCACACTCATTCCACCCCTCCCCACTCCCCAGTCACTGCTAGCCAGTCCACGGGTACACGACACTATCTAATAAAGCTCGCCCACCGCCGCTCCGCTCTTTGTATCGCCTCTACACGAACCAACGCCGACTACCACACTCACTTTTCGTCCTTACAAAATATTCGCACAGGCCAGGTGTTCAGCCCGGCACCTCTCACAAAACGCATTCCTCAATTGGTACGTCCTGCATTCACCGAGTCTATATTTGACTTTCTTGTGCAACATCATGCTGACTTATAAACCAGAGAACACACTCGTCAACAACATGATCTTCAGAGAGTCAGAGTCCAACAACATGGGTCGCGGAGCCTACGACACCACTGGCACCCCCAAGCCTCCTCCACCACCGCCCAAATAAGATGCGTCATTACCTCTCGACGGAGCATTTCTTTTTTCGCCTGCCGCCATTGCCTGCTTCCTCGCAATGCCATCACATTGGCAAGCTACTTGTTCCGTTGGGACTAAAGGGATCCATCCCAAGCCTCGTAAGTCACAGACACGTCGCACCCTGCATGAACACGTCAACTAACAATGACTCAGTCCCGCGTACAACACATTTCCAGCGCATTCACCGCGCCGATTTCTGGGTCTACGGCGCATCTTCTTCCACGGAGCCTCTTGGACTTTACGCACTTTAATCATCGGCGACCATTTCGATTCTTCAGCGACCTAATACCCCTGCGACTTCGGCTACCGGCGTTATCAAGCGACTCTCATCGCACAGCCTCCTCACTCTCTTGCGTCACACGTTCAGCGACATTCCCTTACGGCAAAAAAGTTCTTTTCATCGGCGTTCTTATAGACGGTTGGGCCCAGGCATAGATACCAAAAACGGACCTTCATTTTTTTTCTTTCGGACAGCGCACTGGGGTAGATTGATCGTCGCCAGCCTTCATTGGCACTCATGGCACGAGTTGTACTGTACTATAGCGCGTTGGAGTGGTCGAATCGGCGACCACGACTCAACGGACTTGTTTTCTTTAGACGGCTCCTCATGAACGACATGCATGGGCCGCTCTCCCCATAGCTTTGGACATTAGACTGAGCGCCTGGGCCATTGTACTTGTGTCTCGCGACTCAACTGGCTGAAGTTTAGACTAATCAACATCTACTACTATCATATCCTCCTCCACGATGATGACATTGCCTGTGCTGTGATCGCTTTCACCCACCCCCATGGTACTCCCGTCACACGTGTGGCGCTGCGGATCTCCGTCGCGGGTACATCGATAGGCCTTAGCGATCCGCATGCAGCGGAATCGAGCGGCGACCCTGGTTCGTGCTACCTGGTGGGTGTTTTGCCAGACGTTGGGGGCGCTGGACTGGGTAGCTTCGAGGCTTGGCGGGCAGAGTGGAGACATGGCACTGCACCCCACGAATACGGCGCGCCGAATTGCAACCTCACCACAGCTCCACCACCAACCCAGCCGTCTCTTTACAGCTAGATACTCTTCCGTACACAAGCCTCACCACCCACCATGGCCAACATCAACTGGCGGACCATCAACATCGACGCCTTGGACCCCGACAGCCCCGCCAACTTCGACCTAAGCTCCCTCGCTCCCGCCGTTGCGCCTGTCTCGACGGCCGATGTCCAGACCAACGCCCAGTCAATACGGCAACTGCTACGGGGTGGTGACAATGAGGGCGCCCTTCAGAGTGCCTTAGAGAACCCCCCATATGGCGCAGACGACAAGGGAAAGGTACGTTGCGCCTCAGCACAGCTCAAGACAGCTCTGGAAGCTCCAGAGACAAGTCAGAGACACGACGCTCCCAGTCCAGCGGTTTAGATGTCTTTCCAGATATAGACACCTGGTCACATCACCACCGCGTCTCTGGACTTGGGCTACCGACGACCAGGTCGGCGACATTGCACCGCCCAGGACCAAGCTGACAAGTACACCACCACAGGAAGTCCACCTTTCGGTCGTCATCGAGATCCTACAATCCATACGCCAGTCAGACATGTCACCAATGCTCAGCCGGATATATGGTGCGCCGGGTGGAACCGAAGCATTGGACGTCCTGATGAAGTACATGTACGTCCACCGTCTCGTTTGGGTCTCTCACAAGCCTCACCGCCCACCGACCTCTACTGCCCATCGTGCCTTCCCGCATCACCACGCGCCACCGTCGCACATCCAGAAACATAGACTAACGAAAGTACTCGCAGTTACAAAGGCATGGCACAGGGAGCACCGTCAGGCACCAAGCGCGACATCACCCCCCAACCGACCGGCTTCTCGCAGATTCATACTCGTGGCGGCGGCGAGGGTGGCGGCCAAGCCATGAGCGTACTGCTCAGCTGGCATGAGAAGGTACGACCCCACGCACCTTCCTCGTTATTTGAAACTTCCCGCCCACCGGGTCACATCCCACGCTCTCCCACACCACATCTATTTTTTGTTTCGTCACTAATACACCTCAGCTTGTGGAGATAGCAGGCCCAGGTTCCATTTCTAGGGTTATGAGTGATCGCCGGACAGTTTGAAGTCGTGCTCGCAATTGCAACCACGGCGAAGCGTCATTTCCAAATAAACTCATGGCTGGCTAATCGCTAGCTCATCACCTCGATAGCGTTCAATCGATATGGACGCGCACACAATTAGGCCCAACGGCAAAAGCAGAACCCGAACAAATCAAGACACGTCCTCTAGCCCACGGCTTCCTCTCCCGTCTTCCTGCCTAGATACTTCTGAACCCAAAAATTTCACAACAAGCATATCCTCCAGCGCGCAATATTGACCACGCAAGCCATCGCGATCTCTCGCAATTTTCCTCTCGTTCCCAATGACGCCGCAATCCATGTCCATGCACAACTCACTGCGCGCACAGACAACCAGCCTTCCTACCGGCCTTGCATCATTCCCCAAACCCTTCTTCAGCCCTACTTATCCCTCCCTTCGCAGACGCATCCTCATTTCGCGGACACGGGAACCGCTTTTACGCTAGCCCGCGTAACTTTGATTAAAGCGGCAAGCCCAGCGCAACGCCAACACTGCCCTATCGACCGCGGCATAGCTTCCACGCGAAGTCTCGTGTTGTACTAGCGCAGTCTTCCCTTCCAGCCCGACGCTGTTCCCACGCTAGCTTCCCAGATAGGAAAGTACCTAGGATGGGCGGGCAGGACGTGGTACGCTATACCTAGTAAAGACGCCGTTGGGTGCTGAAACACCGTTGGCACGGGTTGCGAGTGATGATCTCAATTCTTTGACAGACCGGCACCACTCGAAGTTTATAGGTGGGATTATTTGAAACGACGACGCGACGGGGAGGAAGTTTGTCATGGGCTTTATCGATTAGGCAGGCAGTGGGATGATGTGGTACGTATGATTTGTCGCAGTTGTGTATATGCAAGCTTTCGCTATGTAACACAGGAAACACGAACTGCATGTTTCGGTCGCGAAGACCTTGGGTTTGGGTTGGAATGTAGGCGCGTTGTTGCTCGATTGGAATGCACGCGACTGGAATGACAGCTCCCAATCTGTTTGACGCGCGCGCGCTGAACAGGGCTTGGTTCGTTTGATGCGCGAACGTGTTTCTAGAAAGACGTACCTGGAAGGGACAAGGTGTGCTCGGGGGTTATGCGTAGGGCTGCGACATGTCATTACGCCGAGCTTGAGCGCTTTTCTCCGTACCCTCCCCCGTCTTCCGTTTGTCATATGACCAGGGCAATCAATCACACAGGAACCTTTTCCATCGAGTTTCAAATCGCCATCGAGACAGTATTTGGAAGGTTGGGTTTAACATGGCAAATTCAGTACAGCTGTCAAATCTTGGGCGACAGGCGAGAAGATATGGGACTGGTACGTAGGTAGGTGTGGTAGGGCGGTAGAGTTCTAGCGATTGAGATTGAGATTGATTTGATTACAAGTACCCTTGGTCACCTCGGTCCCACAATCGGCACATCACCGGCATTAACACCGTCGCGATCTCGCCTCCTCGGTACAATACAACAGCAGCACCCATCCATCTCCAACTATCTCCAAATTCTGCCCCTCGTCTCATCACCTGCGTCTCACATGACCACCCGCTCATGCAAACCCTTCAGCACCCAGGTTTAGTAACTTTGTGGTTTGGGATTCAGAACAAGCAAACCTGGCACCTTGTCTGCATTGAAATGCGATCGCTCGGAGCTGTCGCTGTCGCATGTTTACAGGGAACACGGGTTCGGAACCCACGTGGGAAATGTGTTGCAGTGGGGCTTATGTCAGACGCCGTCTTGGGTATGACATGCAGATGGAGTGCCCGTGTCGGGGCTGCCGAGGAAGAGGGTAGGTTGACGCGACGTTGGGTTTCAGAGTTGAGGAGGCTGACGGGGAGGGCGTCGGATCCGCTGTGCTGGAGGGCTGGAGGGGAGCGGAGCCGCAAGAGGCTCGTTTGTATGTGTGTGGCTGGGTAGGTGTATGAACAAGCCGGTGTCGTGGGTGTTGAAGCTTGGTGATCGATATAGTTGCTCTTCGTGGACAGAACCTTTCCTTGAGGTGAGGTTGAGGTCGAGGTGAGTTGTGGCGGTAAGCCGGACGGGGACCTAGGACAGTTTCTTCCTTTGCTGCAATGATGATGCCGATGAAGATGATGATATGTATTGTTCTCTAGGTATTACAGATGAAGCGATGTTTGTCTACCGGTGCCTGGCAGGACCGCTGCGAGTATCACAAAAACACATTATCCAGAATCGAGGCTGGTTGTCGAGATTACACTTTCCCTACATCGCGTTGATTCACGGAGTTGTCTTACCAAGAACTCCAATACTTTCCTCCCGAGGTCTCTTTCTTGTTCTACGCACATCTCTCGTATTCGCATGCGCTTTCGCAACACTCTTGACTCTTACAACTACCTCACATACTCATTCTCTCACAGTCTTATTTTCTTTTTCCTTTCTCATGACTCTACTGTCAACCAGGCTCATTACTCCTGCAGACTTTCGCAGACTCGCAATGCACACGACTCTCACTCTTCTGCCTCCATCCCCTAATCTCAGCATAGCATTACTCGCAATGTAACTGCGTCATGGCATTCCCTCCGAGCCATGCAAGAAATCCATCTATTTTTGCTCTTTCCACACATAATCTTGGTATTCCCACTCCCATCCCATATATACAACACTCCACGTCATCGTGGCTTCTACGCCACCATCTCTCGCTCCCTCCCGTCCTCCCGAGATCTCCCTCCTTCTTTTTCCGTATCATTCTTATCGCTCGCAAGCCCTCGCGTCACCATGGCTTACTGTGGCTTGAACTCTCACAGGGTCTCCTTTCTTTTTGATTGCTTTTTTGCCGCATGGAAAGATGGTGGGGTCGGAGAAGCGAGGATGGGTTTCATGACATCCCTATGGGTGTGCATTGGGCCGTCGTTCCGGCAAAAGAAACGTCGTGGTGGCGTTGGGTTGGAATGAGGCTGCCACCGGGGATGTGGGTGGTGGCGTGATGGGGGCTGAGGGAGGTGGGAGGGAGGGTATCTGGTGGTGGGGAAAGTGGTATTGGGAATGAGATGTATGGGGTGCTGGGTATGAGGTAGCTACTGTAGAGAGACTCTTGGTTTTCATGTTCCTGATGGCGTGCAGCTCATCGATAAGATATGCAGCGAGGACTTGAACGTGTAGGCTAAACGTGCACCCGCGACCCCAAGTAGCTGAGTAGGGATATAGGTAGACACTCTCTGCGTTGAAGACATTGCTATACGTAGGTAGCATTGTCACCTTGCTGTATAACATGCCCACCTTTAGGCATCGACTCCAATCTTTCATGAAGACAACATCACAGCATGTACATCTAGGATCAACACTTAACAACAGTGCATCCACATCAGCCTAGGGAAAAAAAAACTGAACACCGTAGAGCCTACATCATGGTAAAAACATACAAAGTAGGTAGCCCAAGGTCAACGTAGGCTCCAGGGTGTTCAGTATTTTCCATCGTATGAGGCGCATCATCAACATGGCTAACGCAACGATCGAAGAATTACTATTATTCATTCTCATCCAAGTAAACAAAGCTACCAGGGTATCAATACTCAATATCCCACTCATGCCTAAACGCCTTCAAATACCGAAATACCTTCACCAAACCCTCATCGAGACTCCTGAGGACTCAACGGCCTTTCGCTGATGAAATCCTTGTTCTTGTTCAGTAACTCCTCACTACGTTGCCTGATCATCTCATCCCTATCCGGATCTGCTTCCTGTAGCCTCCTCTGCACTTCGGCTCTATTCCGCTCTATGAGCGTCTCGATGGGCGTCTCTTCAACAAGGGTCTCTTCGACAGGACCATGCACAGCAGCCCCACTTCCCCACCTTCCGAGAGCAGGTGGATCTGCGGGTCCGTCTCTCACAACGCTGATGTCTGTTTTGTGCTTCTTCTTCAGCTTGTTCAATTCTGAGTCCCGACGAGGAGTCCAGGGGCCGGGACGACTGGAAGGACCGCCGCGGGAAGAAGGACCGGCATGGGAATTGTATGTGGGAGGAGCCGAACGGACTGGAGTTCCGTCTTTGTACGCGGTGACGACAGAGGGCGACTTGCTTATGTTCTGCAATTCATGATTTTGGTGAGGCGAGAGACCGGGACCAGCGGGGTCGGGACGAGAGAGGTCAGGACGGGAATCGGCTGTGATGGTTTTACGAAGCCAATTCTATACGGCATTGCCTTTCGGTTCGGGCTCTGCGCCATCTTGAGCGCCATCAAGATGACGGGCATGTGCGGAGAAGACTCCGAGCTTGTCGATGTGGTTCAGCGAGTGCCAGAGGAGATATGTGCTAGACAAATGAGTCAGTAAGAGTAGTACGATAGCACCTCATACAAGGGAAAAACTGAACACCCTAGAGGCTACATCAAGAAGAAAACCTGCAAATTAGGTGGCCTAACGTCGATGTAGGCTCCAGATCTGTCCAGGTTTTCGCTAGGTTGACGTGATAGAACCGATAGAGGTGCCTTACCTGACAAAAGTGAAGATCATGCCCGGCCATAAGAACACGACACTAGCAATCGCCCGCCCATTCTTGTTGTAAGCGAGCGGAGTCTCACCGGCCTTCTTGAACTGCGACAACAGACCCTGTCCGCGCTCGAAGTCCGTGCCGGTAAGGTGCGCACTCTTGCTCGCGGTAATGTAAGTGTATGCAAGGGCGTCGGAGAGCGTAAGCATGCAGGCAAAGACTGAGCAAGCTTTCCAAGCGTTGATGACGCCTCTCGACTCTTGTCGCTCGGGCCAGAAGAGATCGAAGAAGAAGGCGGCACCGAAGATGGTGGCGACGAAGATACCGACGAAGATGTTGTACGATGCGATGCCGACGAAGTTGTTGTTGTGGATCATGACGTTGCGGTCGAGCTTTGAGACGAACTTTTGCTGGTCGACGTAGTCTGATGGATGTTAGCTGATGTTCAAGCTGGATGATGACAGACGGCTATCGTCGCCAATATGGACAGAGAAGAGATATATCGTACCAGACAGCGCAGCCGTTCCCAGACTCTCACTGACAACGCAGAGAATCATGGCGAGTTGGTAGATGATGAACTTTGTGCGACGGTTGTGGTACGTGTTGTTCCACATGTAGCCAGACTTGAACTTGCCCCATTGCATCTCCTTCATGTCGAGACCCCAGATTACCGCCATCGTGACTGGATATGGATGCAAGTAATGAGATGAAAGATGGGGACGTCTAACGAAGTGCGCGCGATAAGTTGGCTGGAGAGAAGGATGACAAGTGAAGCGCGGGAAGACCGGATAGAATACACCTCCGACGTGTTGGTCGCGATAGCCAGGAAACTTGTCTGTGAGGTAAGCACCGCGCGAGTATCGAGCCTCCCCGAGGTCCCACGGGCAGTTGCATACTTAAGGGTCTTCTTTCCTGGCCACTCCACACCACCTACGTCGCGCCTCCACCCTCCCCGTCAGCCATCACCGACGCAATCGAAATCTTTCAATGTTAAATCCGTCTCCAGACCCGCCCAGTCCACAAGGGAAACAAGCACCCGCCAACCGTCGCGGTGCTAGCGTCGATCCTACGCCATCGTTGCTTCGCTGAAGCTTATCACTTCCGCGCGCAGCCCCAGACCCACGAATAACAGTGCGAAAGCAGTATTAATCAGCGTCTCGGCTGGGGTCGGCGAAAAGATCACGATGGGAAAGTTGAAAGGTGATTGGAAATGTGGTTGGGAGGAGGATGGGTGCGACGTCATCGAGCGGGATGTCGGTGGGGACTTGCTTAGCGAGAATGCTTAGTGCACGGGTGGGGCGTTCACGTCATTTGTTGCGCTATCTGCACGCAAGGGGCTTGATGTCACACGATATTGAAGGATGTGAGAGCGGTAGACATGTCCGCTGCTTGGATGTCACGCACGTCATCGCAGAACTGCTGCTCGAGCATAGCCGTTCTCCTCGAGCCACATGAGCTGTGACATTATTCGGGTACAAGTCTTCTTGTGTATCTTGTCTACTACATTTGCTTCTACAACATGCCGGTAGTCATTGCCGACAGAGAGCAGATCTTAACATGCAATACCAGCCAGCCACAACCGCTATCTAGACCTCAATGACCTAGTCCACAACGCCTCCTCTCCAAGCACTTGTCTATGCGCTCCCGATAACAAGCGCTCTACTATCCTGGAACAGCTTGTGTAGATGTACCTTGTTCTTCAACCCATCGTCCAGAAGCGAACTTCGGAGTCTAAGAGCTCGGGCTGACTCCGCACCCACAGCTGCAGCTGGATCTGGGACGTCCTTGATATTGAACAACATCTGTACACTGGGCATCGTACCCTTAGGGAAGTTGTCCCTAAAGATCACAATTTCAGTGACGTGCTTGGTTCCCAGCTCTGCTTTGTGTTGGAAAAGCATGAAAGCGAGTGTGCGGCCCAATGGGGAGCCTAAGCGTGTCAGCGTTATTACTAACTCCGGTTCTTGGATGTCGTTTGCGAACGGGTCGCGTTTGTCATCTCGCACGCTTTGCGCCCAAGGTACTTGCAGACGCTCAAGACTACTCACCAAGTAACGCCGGGCCTTCCTCATCGTACATGTTGGCTACAACACCGGGCCAGTACGGTACCTCACTAAGATCGTGATTCTTCAACATTCTGCTGATGAGGGCGACAGTCTTCTTGTTCTGGATGTTGAAAACGAGATAGTACTTGAGATTTTTAGGGTCGAAGTTGCCGCGAAGCCAAAACGCCATCATAATGTCTGAGGCGCGTTTGAGATCAGGAAGCTCAGCCTCTGGTGGGTTGTATCTCCAGTTTAATTGCGCTTCTGTTCTAGGGCTGCTGAAGTCGAGACCAACGATGACTGCGAGCAGTCAGATTGTCTCTTGGCATGATTGGTTTGTGGCGGTCGCAAAGGCGAATCCGCGTTCACTTGCAAACACTTACGTCCACCTCGTTGGTTGATAGCAAATCGAACATGCGCACCAGTACACCGCTTCGTCACGCCATTGACGGGGTAGTATTGGTCTTCTGCCTCGAGAATATCTCCATCGTCGTCTTCGGCGCCCTCGTTGTAGTGTTGCATGTTGTAACATACGTTATCACCGCCTTTTGTGCGAGGCCTGGGGTTGATGCCAAGATCCTGAAACATGGTTCCTACGCAAGGTTAGTATTTATCAGGAGCTATATCCTGCTGTGGAGACTTTGAGGAAGAGATTGTACTGGTTACGTTCGTGAGGTTAACGTACCGACTTTGTTAATATGATTATCTTCGTCATTATCGGCAAAGTTGCAATGAGTCTCCTGCTCAAATTCGCCAGTAAACCAAGCCCAGAGACTCATCTCTGCTCTGAGTGCGGCGTCGGGCCATTGGTTGCGCGCAGAAGGTGGGGTCCGTGTATCTAGGTTCAGTCTGCCGGCAGCCTCGTCCGTAGCTTCGAGTCGACAAATCAATTCATCTCCCTTCTGGCGAGCGGCGGTCCACTCTGCGTCACTCGCCGCCTTCTCTGACTCCCACAAGGCGTGTACTCTGGTAGGCTCATCACTAGCAGTGTCCTGGGCAAGAGCAACCGAAGCTACGATAGCTATGAGCGCTAAAGAGAGTCTCATGGCGGGCTGGAAGGAAGCCCGGGTGGTTCTGGAGAGACTTGAAAAGCTTGAAAAGAGATACGGAAGTAAGAGCTATTGAAGTACAAGACATCGAAATTTTAAGCGATGCGCGTTGAGCAGGATCGGCCGAGCTAGTTCCACAATCTCGAGGTGAAGGCGGAAAGAGCGATGATGGAAGAGATATGAGTCCGAAAGTAGACTACAGAGATACTCACCGGGACAAAGAATATAGGAAAACTGACATTCTAGGGTATCGCGGCTTCCCACAAGACACCAGCGCCACGCAGAATCAAGCAACCGCCCAATTCCATATCGTACATCCAAACGTATAACAATCCAATCATCCCGACGTCCAAACATCTCATACACCATCCAACCTTCCCATTCAATCATCCTTCTCATCATCGTCATCATCATCCCCCTTCCCAGGCACAGTCTCCATCTCCACCTCGCCCTGCACCTTCCCCTTCCCATCCTTCTGCACGATACGATACTTGCCGCCCTCCCACAGATCCTTGAACGTAAGTTCCTTCGTCCTGCCGAGACTCTCAATCGCACCGATACGCTCGAGCGTCGCTTCCAGGAAGTCTTCGAAACCGGGCTCGGCGCAGATCTCGTTGAAAGCACGTTGCATGGGAACGGAGTCGGCGCGGACAACGGCGTGCGAGTCGATAGAGAAGATGGAGAGGTCGTGGTGCTGGCGGATGAAGTCGGAACGTGTCATGATGAAGCGGGCGCGGTGGAGGGGGAAGGAAGGCAGGATGTGGCCTTCTTTTGGGTCGTAGGTTGATTCCATGTCGTGGTAGAGTTTGTAGAGGGCGTTGGCTAGGACCATGGCTGTGGACTGTGGGGGTTAATCAAAGGGATCGAGAGAAGGATATTTGTGTACTTACAGCGTATTTCTGCTGGTCCATGACATCGTCGTCCATTTCCTCACCGAGAATCGCGCAGTTGTTCAGGAACCAGATCTTTTCCATTTCGCAGATGCTGTTACACTTTGCGACCATGTCTTCTGACTTGGCGACGCGGTTGAGGAAGGTGAGGCGTCCGCCGACTTTGTCGTATACTTCTTCGAGGATGGAATCGTGCACTTTCTCGCCGTAGTATTTCATTCGGTAGTTGCGCAGGGCTTGCATGGCGCGGTCTTTGCTTAGGTCCTTGATCTGATGTACTTCCATGCGCGTCGCGTACTGCTTCAGTCGTTCAAACACCCAGTACTTGTCCGAATTGATGATGACGGTTGCGAGGTTGGCGGCCGCCCACTGCTCCGCTCGCTGTTGGATGAGTTCGAGCAGGTCTCGGCCGTCGTCATTGTCTCGGATCAAATGTGCGGAGTTGATAATGAGAATGAGCGGTCTGCCGACAGTTGCGCGTCGTCGCAAAGCTACTTTCTCAAGCTTGTTGAACGCGCGCTCAATGTCAAGGATGGCGCCCGCATCGCGTGGACCGCGGATAGAGAAAAGCGATCCGATGTTGTCTTCGTGGTACTCGAAATCGAGACAGCGACCTAGTCGTACACGGAAGACTTCGAGATCTGCATGGGCTTCCATCATCGAACATCCCTCACCATTGATCTTATCCATGGCGTCGATGAGCATGGAAGTCTTCCCAGTCCCCTTCTCGCCAAGAAGCAGATGGTAACGTCCTTTCGTCTCACCCCAGACAATCTTGTCAATTCTTTCCTGCTCATCACGTGGGATCCAGCGATCATAGTCTTTATCATCACCGTCCAGGTCCTTGCTGACCTGTAGTCGAGTAGGTTCACCCGCTTTCGGCATCTCCTTTCCAGTAGCTGCAAGCTCTAATACAGGATCGCCTTCCCGAAAAGCGTTCTCCATCTTTTCAAGCACGTTCCATTTGTAGTACTTAGTATAGCCAATGCCGACGCATCCAAGGATGAAGATGCTGGCTCCGGTAGTAGCAGCAGCCTCAAACATCTTCCAGGCTGTGCTTTTCCATTCTGCCTTCTTTTTCTCGCGTTTCTCCTCTTGCTGCTCTTCCTCTTCCTCCAAACGCTCTGCAGCGTCGTCAATGGGGTTTGGCGCATCGTTGCCAGGAGTCGGAGGACCGGATTGGCCACTCAAAGCGCGCGCCAAAGAGGGCTGGCATAACCTTGTTCTTTGCAGTACCGGACCAGCCTGCTGAGACCGATACGCGAAAGGTTGTCGTGTCAACGCGGCATGAGCGCGCGTGATATGTCGTAGCATTAACATTATTGCGCTGGCGCGTTCCAAGTCACGTTGGTGTCGCGTGCTTTCCAATGTTACACGTGTCAAACGTAGGCGCAGCCAGAGGTTCAACAGACGTGGAATGGACTAGGAAAGGAATGAATGAGAGTTAAACGAGAGACAGACGCGTGAAAGGAGAGATGATTGAGATGGACGGGACGAGATTGGAGGAGAGGGACGCCAAAGGAGGTACCGCGGCCTTGTTACGCTGGTGTTGCGATAATTTGCCGCAGGGGCCAAGTGCGAGTGCCAAGTGCGAACGGCAGGAGCGATCGTGGTGACAGCATGGTGGAACTCGCGTCAATCACCATATCGATAACCGACGTGAAGACAGACAAGGCGTGTAGAACATGGCAACTCATGTACTCCAAAATTCACGCGACATTGGTGACCCCGGTGCATGGGGGCCGTTTTCCCGATGACATGCCTGTGGCCTCGGAAGTGGAGAGCGAGCTTAGCGGACCATCCCGGCGCCCTCAAGAAAAATATTCTGGAGACATGACCGGAGAGTCACCTCTCTCCCCATCACTCGACGCATGTCATTGTACATTAATGCGCCTGTCCTGTATATCTCCTTCCTTCCCTAGACCGATTCCCTCTTTCCCCAGTCGTTCTTTCCCGGCGTCGTAGTGTTTCTCGACATATCCACAGCCCGCCATCATGGCCGCTAGTACCAATGACGCTTCCAAGTCTGGTGAGCTTCCCGCCCGCACACGACTGCGATGGAAATTTATTCCCAGGCGCAATAACTCTTTTTGCACCCCATGGCTAACATCAATGGCAATGCAGAGGTCGAGAAGACGCCCAGCAAAGACGTCACCACAGAGGGGCAGAATGAGGGCACAGAGGAAGATGGCGCTGGCCAGCAGCCAGACAGTATGTCAATTGACTTGCTATGTGTGAGAAATATCTACTAATGTCGCAGACATCTTCCAGGTCACCATCAAGCTCCCACACGAGCCGTTCGAAATGCCGATAACGGTGCGTATTGAGAGTTAGAAAAGAAAATATGGACGACAAACTCACGACTCCAGATCTCAACGGCCGAGCAGGTGCAAGACCTCCGTCAGAGCATCATCGAGACGCCTCACACGTTCCAGTACTCGTGCTTCCACCTGGAGCACGACGGCAAGCGGATCAACGATTACGTCGAACTCTCTGAAGTCGAGGGACTGAAGGCCGATTCGGTACTCACCCTGGTGGAGGACCCATACACAGAGAAGGAGGCGCGGTTACATGTGGTCCGCGTACGCGAGCTCATCGGCGCTGCCGGTGACCGTACCGATGCGCTGCACGGCATCATGGCTGGTCTGTCACTGCACGACACCGTCGGCCACGAGCAAATCTCCAAGCCCAAGCAGGACGGCCCGGAGCAGTCGCCATTGGCAGACTACGACTTCAAGGCATCGGGCAACATCAAGAACCTACTGCCGCCCACCGAGGAAGCCGCGCCCAAGACAATCAAATCCATCGCCGTATCGCCGTGGAACCCCCCGCCATACCACCTCCGATCCAAGGGCCACCTGCTGTACCTGGTAGTCACGACCAACGAGAACGAGCAGCACCACATCACAGCTCACGTCTCCGGCTTCTATGTCAACAAGTCGTCGAATGCCAGCTTCGACCCCTTCCCGCGACAGCCACCAAAGGACAAGCAGGCACACTCGCTCCTCACCCTCCTGGAAGACCTGTCGCCATCTTTCCGCGCTTCGTTCCAGGAATTGCTCGAGCACAATGCGAAGAAGGAGCTACTTACCATCTTCCAGCTCTCCAACGCCATCCCCGCCAACCCATGGTTGGTCCCCGCACCCACGTCATCCCTCACCCCACACCAGCCGGATCTCGCGCGGACACAGGAGAGCTATCTGATCTCGGGTGTTGAGAACACCGAGACCCTCCGCGACTGGAATGAGGAGTTCCAGTCGACGAGGGAGATGCCCAAGGAGGCTGTCCACGACCGCGTCTTCCGCGAGCGCCTCACGTCAAAGCTGTTTGCTGACTACAACGATGCTGCGACCCGCGGTGCCATGCTGGTAGCACGGGGCGAGATTGCGCCTCTCAACCCTACCGAGGCCAAGGATGCGCAGATCTTCGTGTACAACAACATCTTCTACTCCTTCGGCGCTGATGGCGTAGGCACATTCGGCGCTGAGGGCGGTGACGAGGCTGCGCGCGTGGCTGTGGGCAAGGACGTTTTCGGTGTCCGCGCTGTGAACAACCTCGACATCAACAACCTCTTCACCTCCGGAACCGTCGTCGTCGACTACCAAGGAAAGCGCATTGTTGGCCAGAGCATAGTGCCCGGTATCTTCAAGCAGCGCGACCCCGGCGAGCACCAGATCGATTACGGTGCGGTTGAGGGCAAGGAGATTGTCGCCGATGACAAGTCGTTCGTCCCTCTGTTCGAGCAGCTCTCCAAGGCGCTGCGCGTCAAGAAGCATCCTGTCTGGGACAAGGACAATGTCCGTCACGAGCTGGAGGGAAGTGTTGAGACTAAGGGTCTGATCGGCACCGACGGCAGGCGGTACGCTCTGGACCTCTACCGCCTCACACCTCTCGATGTTGCCTGGATAGAGGCACACTGGACCGAGCCCAGCAAGGAGGGCGAGAAGGAGGCGACAGACAAGGACTACCCCCACCGCATGACAACTCTCCGCCCTGAGCTCGTAGAGTCATACGGCAGGGTCAAGCTCCGCGAGTACGTCAAGGAGCAGATGGCCAAGAAGACCACAAAGAAGGACGAAACCCCTGCGAAGGAGGCCAAGGCTGAAGAGAGCTCGTCTGAAGAGGAATCTTCGGAAGAGGAGTCATCTGAGGAGGAGTCTTCTTCGGAAGAGGAGGACTCTGATGAAGAGAAGGAGAAGATGCCCAAGGCCAAGAAAATCTCCAAGGCGGAGAGGAAGGCCGCGGAGAAGGCTGCCAAGGTTGCCAAGAAGGAGACCGAGGAGAAGAAGCCTGAGGCCGAAGACCCTGAGCAGGAGCGTGTCGACATTTCCGGATTCTCCTTCGCGCTCAACCCTGATGTTTTCTCGGGCCAGAACCCGCAATCAGAGGAGGACAAGAAGGAGTGGGCTCAGGACGAGGCTGAGGTCCGCGCTGCTTGCGAGCACCTCACTTCGGAGGTCATTCCTCGCATGGTCCAGGAGCTCAAGGAGGGCGAAGTTGGTTTCCCAATGGACGGCCAGTCCCTGAGCAACCTTCTGCACAAGCGGGGTGTGAACATGCGCTACCTTGGAAAGCTTGCTGAGCTGGCTGACAAGCCTGACCCAAGGCTTCAGGCCTTGAAGCGTCTCATCATCCAGGAGATGATTGCACGTGGCTTCAAGCACTTTGCCAACTCCAAGCTGCGCAACGTGTCTGCGCCTTTCGCAGCACCCGCAGCCGCCCATCTCCTCAACTGCTTGCTCGGAGCCGATGTTAGCACTAAGCCTGTGGCTGAGTGCGACAGCAGCCTCAAGAAGATGTACCCCGAGGATGACTTTAGCTTTGAGAAGCTCACACCTGAGGCCCTCAAGAAGGAGGTCGTAGCTCAGGTTGCCCTACGATTCCGCTACGATCTCGGTCAGTCGTGGATCGAGTCTGGCAAGGAGATGCAGATGCTCCGTGAGGTTTCCCTCAAGCTTGGTCTCCAGTTGGAATGCAAGTCGTACGCCTTCACTAAGGAGGCCTTTGCCGCCAGCCAGCCGGCCGAGAAGCCCGCTGCGCCGCAGACCAACGGTCACTCCACATCTTCCAAGAAGAAGAAGAACAAGTCCATCAGCACCCCACCAGCCCGCACGGCTAGCCCTACTGTTCCTCTTGCTCCACAAACCTTCCACGCAGACGACATTCTGAACATTGTCCCTGTCATCAAGGAGGCTTCACCTAAGAGCTTGTTGGCTGAGGAGGCACTGGAGGCAGGTCGCATGTCCATTGCCCAGGACCAGAAGGAGCTTGGCCAAGAACTGCTCTTGGAGTCTCTCCAGCTACACGAGCAGATCTACGGTGTGCTGCACCCTGAGGTCGCCAAGGCTTACCACACCCTGTCGAACCTGCTCTACAGCCTTGATGACAAGGTCTCGGCTCTTGAGCTCGCACACAAGGCCATCATCGTGTCGGAGCGCACTCTCGGTGTCGATCACTCGGAGACTGTGCTTGCCTACCTCAACGTCGGTCTGTTCGAGCACGGTTCGGGTAACACCACTGCCGCTCTGATCTACGTCCGTCACGCGCTTGAGCTGTGGAAGATCCTCTACGGCCCCGACCACCCCGACTCCATCACAACTCTCAACAACGCCGCTGTCATGCTGCAGGCCGCGAAGATGTACCACGAGTCGCGACTCTGGTTCGAGGCCTCGCTCGCCGTCTGCGAGGAGGTCTGCGGCAAGAACTCGATCAACACAGCGACTCTGCTCTTCCAGACCGCCCAAGCTCTGGCCCTCGACAAGGACATGCGCGGTGGTGTCAACCGCATGCGCGAGTCTTACAACATCTTCAAGGAGGTGCTCGGTGCAGAGGACCGCAACACCAAGGAAGCCGAGAGCTGGCTCGAACAGCTCACCCACAGCGCTGTCTCTCAAGCCAAGCAGCTCAACGACCTCGCCAAGACGCGTATCCGCCGCATGCAGCTTCCCGGCCGCAACCCCCTGCGCCCGGCCGCCGCCACACCCTCCGCTAGTGATGCGGCTGCCGCCGCCGGTAGCCAGCGCACTGGAAGTGGTCGCGTCGACCAGCGCAAGATCGAGGACCTCCTCAAGTACATTGAGGGTGACGCGCAGAAGACACCGTCGAAGAAGAAGCCGACGAACCCCAGGAAGCGTTAAAGTTGCTATGTCATGTTTTTGACGTTGTCTGATATTGTTACGAAGCTACGCCAAAAGTATACATACCACAAAAAGTGCTGTTGTTTGCGCGATAACGATGTGTATCATACCTGCAGAACATCTTAGCAGCAGCTTTTACGAATCTGACGCGCTTTCTCTTTTGATTCATGAGAATCTGACTTTTTGGTATGGCTTCGGCTTGCATTCTTTGGAGTTTTTGGGTTGGTTGGGCAACAACTGGGGGAGGTGAGATGGATGGGCATGTACTTTACGCATACCGACGACACCAAAACGCGCTCGCTGTATATCTAGATAGACCAGGGCGGATGGCTCAAGGGAACAAAATATATGTCGGATGTACATGGACTGTATGGTATGGTAAATAAGGAAGGGGTGGGGTGTATGGAAGGATCGAATAGGGAAGGAACTTGGACGACGAGACGAATAGATGTACTCAATACCAATGCAAGAATATCTCCTCTTCATTTACTTCACTCGCTTTGCTCATGCATGTGTTAACGTCGTTGTTCTTTTTACATTTATCTTACTACTTTATTCACGAAAAAAACTAAACAGGTCTGCAGACTACATCAAGACAAAAACATGCAAAGTGGGTAACCTGTCGTCAACGTAGGCATCTTACTACTTTATGTACAAATAATACTAAATAAGTCTATAGACTACAGTAAGATAAAAACTTACAAAGTAGTTACACTAAGGTCTACGTAGGCTCTAGGGTGTCCTTTTTGATTAGGTTAACGTGTCACTTTCGACACTGTCCGAAACTATAGCACCATCAATTGATTCAGGATCTTTTCTTCATCTACACTGCACAACTGTCGTTCCATCGCTGTGTTAATGAGCGAAAGGCTCAAATCATCGCTTTTGTTTCCACGCTCTCAGTTCCACCACCCATACAATCTCGAATGCTCAGACACTTGCCTCGTCCTCCGGGATCGGATGCCGTTTACGAAACTCTGCAATGATGTTGGCAGCCTTCTGTTGTATCTCTGAATCCTCTTCCGACCGCGCAGCTTTTGTCCTCTCATTCATTTCTTTCGCTCTTGCGAGCAACGCGCGATCAGCGGACTTCATAAGCAGACTCGACTTCTTTCCCTTCGCATCAGGGAGCTTCTTCTTCAACCGCGCGATATCGCTCTTTAGGTTCTTCCTCAGCGGCGACCGCTCAATCGCATACTGAGCACAATTATCCCATTCCTGCTCTGGCGTTTTGAGCGCAGAGTCGGCGCTTCGGCCCGCAGGATAGTGACTGAACCCTCCTCCGTTTCCTGTGTAGCCTTCCGCGAGTCGGGTTAATACAATTTCGGAAAGCGAGGCGTGAGACGCGGTGTGACAGATGTAGATGATGTACTGGGTCATCTTGTATAGTTTGGGAAGAGTGTTGTTTGCGAAGAGTACGGCAGCGATTGCTTCGGCGAGGTTCATGGCGGGGTGATAGTAAGAGTGGCTGGCGTGTTTCTTGAGGCGGGCTTGGGAGCGGTTTGAATATCCGACGTGAACGAGTGGATGCTTTAACGGCTTGTTGTGGTGCTGAGGTGGCAAGCCGCTCAGTCGCGCTCGTACTTTCTCGATCAGGCGGGTGACTTCCTTGAGCTTGGCCGCGGACTGGAACTCCCGGTATGTGTTGCCTTTCTTTGTTCCTGAGCTGGTCCATGTGTACTTCCTAAAGCCACTCTGGCTTTTGAGCAGATCGATGTACGGTGTCTTGACGTTGTCGATTTCTTTCGCGAGGGTGTGGTTCGCTGCGTTGACGTATTCTTCCATGGTGTTTAGAATGCTGCCGAGTTCGTTTGGCGTAGGAGATCGGCCGTCGTCGTCGACGAAGAGCTGGTAGTAGATCGACGGTTTGTCTTTGGCCTCGACGTACAACTCATCCAAGCGCGCCTGTATGACACTGTCGCTATTCGCTTGGAGAGCCAGATTACCGCGTATCACAGTCTTGAGAATATCCTTATCCATAGAAGCGACCATCATGCGCGCCGGACTGAGGATGCACTGCTCATCCGTGTTTGATGCTGTAGCAGAGTCGTGACAATGAGCCGCGATCTCATCATTTAGTAGTACTTTCAGCATGCCCTCGTATCCGCCTTCTTGCCAGAGGGCGAGCTTCGTCCATTTTTTGGTGTCCAGATCGTCGCCTAAGTCATCTCTGTTAGTGATCATGCATTCTGCACGCGAAAGACTGGGACTCTAGTATTATGACTTACCGAAGGCAGGCAGGTCTTCCGGGTCCAGTATGTCCTGTGAGAACGCTGTGTCGTCCGAGTCTAAGGATACTACCGGGGTGTTGACGCTTGGCGTTGATGAGCCGTGGTCGTCGCTCATGTCTCCAACGTCGCTCTCATTGGATTCGCCGATGGCCTCGTCGTCACTCGCCTCATCGTCTGTCTCTTGATTCCGCTCGAGAATGTCTTCATCGTCCGAATTTGCACCTTGTACCCGAGCAGCGATGGCGTTGAATGCGGGAGTACGCGTGTTGAGTAAAGGTGTGATGCTCATCGTGGTCATTGTAGGCGGTTGGCGTCGGTGAAGTAGTGGGATGTGTCGGGGGTCACTGTGATTGTGAAAACCTCGTCTGAGATCTCGAAGATGCGCAGCCGAAATGGCGGTACAGTAGGCCTGGTGCGGTCGCTCGACTTGGCTGTAAGATCAAGCGGCTTTGTCGTGCGGAAAAACTGGTGACCCGGAGTCGGTGGAGGGAGGGAGAAACGGACGCAGGAAAAGCTGGGACCTGACAGTGCGCAACGAATCAAGCGAGGAGCTAATTAATTCCCTTTCACCTTCACTTTTGAGATCTCAGCGTATTTCGAGAGATGCTTCTGTTACAGTAAGGTTATGCGGTAGAGGGGGAAGAGATGGCCCGTATGTATTAGTTGCTAATGTGTAAGACCAAGAGTCACTGTCGACTGAGCTTGAGCTAATTACACCATTTTATTTTCTACAAACATCTTGTGGCTACATCGAGAATCTCTAGGGTTACCTAGTTGTTATGAGGGTGCTAGCGCTGACCTGTTGCGGTCCGCGCTCTACTTCTTCTGAAGCTCTGCTTCGAGCTTTGCGTTGCGCTCTCGAAGGTCTTTGACGGTCTTACGGAGGTCCTTGACGGTCTTACGGAGGTCCTTAACAGTCTCGCGGTTATCTTCTGCAGCCACTATTTGTATACCGACGGTGTCTTTGAGGGCGTCGATGGTGCCTTTAAGGGCATCGATCTCGGGCTTCTTGTCGATTACGTTCGCGGTCTTGTCGTTGACATCCACATGCTTGTCCTTGATGTCCGCGACTTTGTCGGTGATCGGGCTGAGAAAGTCGCCTCCCTTGGCTCGGGTCTCCTTGAGCACCACTAGTTCCTCGACTTTGTCCTCGTAGGCCTTCTTCCAACCCTTGAGGGCGGTTTCGTAGGAGTTCTCCATGTCGCTCTCCCTGGTTTCGTGCTCCCCAATGGAGTGATAGAGCTTGGCCTTGACTTCCTCCTCCATCTCGATCGTGGTCTCGTAGCCCGTCTTCATGTCGTTGAGTGCGGTATCACAGTGGGTCTTCTCGTCGCTGAGCTTGTCCTCGTAGTGCTTGATGGTGCCCTCGAGCTTGGACTGCGATTCGTTCTTCAGGTGGGAAATCTTGGCGTCGTAGTCCTTGGTGAGGTGATTGAGCTTGGTCTTGGATTCCTTCGATATTCTGGCGACATCAGCCTCAATGAAGCGCCTCACGCGTTCGATGTCGATCTCGTGGCATTTCTCCTTGTCGCTGAGCTCCGACTTGTGAACCCTGATAGCATCCTCGAGCATTGTCTGGGACTGTTTCTCCACGTCGGCGATCCTGGCCTCGTAGTCGGCCTTCTGCGCCCTAAGCTCTGACTCAAGGTAATCGATGGAGAACTGGAGCCTGGCCTTGGAACTCTCCATGTTGGCGAGCTTGGCCTCGTATTTGGCCTTCTGCTTCTTGAGCTTCTCGACGGCTTCCGACTGGACAAATGGGTTTTGTGGCAGCAAGTCACTGGACACTACCGACGACGGACGATTTCCGTTGCCCCATCTGACTTGCCTCTCAGCGGCCATTTCTGGGTGCATAGTCAACACAGGTAATGTAGATGGTAGAAATAGAGCGCGCACTTACTGGTTGCTAGAGTAGCCTGCGCTGCGGAGACTTCCGCACGTGGATGATGACAGGTTTCCACGAGGTGTGATGTAGCTTGATCCAAATATGGCAGCTGCGGGGTGAGTGAGAGACGAGTATGAAGAGGCGGGTGAGGAAGAGGCGGGTGAGCAAGCGGTGGTGGAGCGGTTGTGAGCAGTCAGGTGCTCGGAAGATGTTTTCTCCGAAGGTTAGTAAACGGTTGGGGTGAAGAGAAACACCAGAAAGATGGTGTTCAAGAGCGCGCTAAAGTACTCTGCATCCATTGCAGTTAATCGGGACTTTCCACCGCATATCATATGCAGAGGATAGTTTCTCTAAGTATCTTGGTTTTTTCGACAGCTATACACATTCCCGTCATCGGCAACCACACTCCATAGCCTACTGAGGACCCACGATATAAGTCTCTCTAGGGACAGACGGCTTATCAGAGAGTAGACGGGGAGTGATAGCCACTTTGTTGTCTCCTAAATCCGTACAACAGCCGCTATACAAAGAAAGCGCGACTTTTGCAAGTTCCTCATCCGTGTGAAATTCAGAGCTCATATCAGGGGCCAAGCCAACCGGCACCTTGGTTTCTGGATCTACGAGAAACAACTCATTTCCGAATGACTTCTCATCGGGCGGAGGCAGATGTTGACCGACACATAACAAGGAAAGAGGCTCTTGTCTTTGATGCTTGGGTTGGCGTGCATGCTTTGCCAAAAGCCCGACGGAAACAAAGGTTTCGTGGTGACGAATGAATACGGGGACGAAGAGCTTGTTGACCCACGCAGCGGCAGATAATGGAATGCGACAATTGACCATGCCAGCTAGGAGGAGCATGGTACATAGGAACGGTGTTGACGAGAGACCTTGCATCTGTTGCTTGAGGTAGGCCCAATCTGCTCGCGGCGCTCCACTCATGTGATGTATCTCATATTCGTTGTTCATTAAGTATAGTAGCATCTTCCTGGCCTGCACAAAGAGTGGTACGTACTCGCTAGCCTCGCTCATGCGCGCCTCTTGCTCAGTCTGATCAAGGCTCCTGAGATCCGCTATACTTTCGTCTTCCACGAAGCCCAGTCCAGGGGCAATGTTCGTCCAAGAGTGACTTCTGTCATCGGACACTCGTATCGCATCCTCTGGATCAATGGGCAGCCAACCGCAGCTCATGGCATCGGCGTGATCGAGCTTCCAACGATGATCCGGAAGATGTCCGAATTTGGAAAGCTCACCACCCCCATATGATTCCAGCCATTGCATTCGGCACCGTTTAAAACAGGCTTCTAGCCGGGCGATGAAAATGTCTGGCGAGGATTCGCTTTCTAGTTCCTTGATCTGAACATCCGAGGTAATGTGTACATGCCGTGAAAAGGCGTTCGAAGCCTCGGGTACGCGTTGTCCCATCAGCTTGAGGAAATCGCCGAGCGTCGTCGGACTTGGAATATACTGGCTTGGTCGCCAACCGTCCGTGGGATCTGTGCATGCAGGATCAAGCATTGAACGAGTGAACCTGCATGTAAAAGCATGTCCAGACCGTTCAGCTTGTTGATAGAGATCCAGATAAATCTTTCCGAATGACATCGCCAAGGCCTCTTTCTTCGGATATGTATACCATGGGAAAGAAGGCATGGTCGCAAAGATGTAGTCGCGAGGCATAGTAGCTGATCTACGCGATGCGCGGTTCGCCGGTAGAAAATGACCCGAGTGGATGTCTTCATCCAGTCTACGCTTTACGCTACGTGAATTGATAACGGTCCCTCCATAAACATAAGCTTCGACAAACTTATGTATGGCGGTGTTGCCCTGAAAGCCGGAGAAAGAGTAGGCTAGAACCAAAAGAGCAGACGCGAGAGTCATGCATTTTGTCTCATGTTCTGTCTCATACTGGTTAATATCACTATCGTCGCGAGCCCGTTCCCGCATCGCGAGCTCCTTGGGTTGGTCTGAGCTTTGGTCAACCACAAGCAACAAGCAAATTGCTTTAACGTACTGTGATCTCCAACCACAAACTCAATCGTATGAGAGAGTAAGCACTCCTGCAGGGTCCACAGTCTCTGAAGGTACGACTCAGCCCAGAGATGGTCGATACGGTCACGGCTATGATCATAGAGTCTTTCGGTAAAGTCCGTGGAATTTTTGAACCCAGCAACAGCAGCGATGCAGCAGTCATGAAATCCGTCGCATTCCCTGACCGCCATTGTTTTCTTTGCCATCCTGAAGATATCGGGAATGGCATCCACGATCTCTGAGACTTCAACTGGATTTCGCTGATCGACTGTCAACGTGTCCATCCAAAAGGCACCATCACCCACCAAGGCGGGAAGGCGGGTTGCGATAAAATGTGCCTTCTCTTGTGATGCTTTGACCTCGTACGGTATGCCCTGGATCGAAACCCAGGCCCAGTCGCCCCAGACATGAGAGAAAGCGATGTAATTGGTGGATTCAAGAGGTGCTTCGAAGAGCTCAAGAACCGCGTTCTTGAAGCGCGCAAATCTGATAACCGTTTTTGCTGTGTCACCAGGAGCCATGATATGGGATTTGTGTCAGGAAGAAAAGTTGAGACCGGGAGCTACGGCCTTAGAGCCGGCATGCGCTGGTTTTGATCTGGGGCATTGGGTGGCAATGCTAAAGATTAGACGCCTCAGCCTCGTTGGCTGCGGCTAAGCAACGGGTCGCCTGGCCTCGCAACGTCCAGCGCCTGCCCAGCCTCTCACGTACATTCTCGCGACCCCTGTTCAGCGCTGCCAATGACAGAAGGCGCTGGCCGACTCGTAGCAAAGAAGGATGGTATGGCTTTCCAACGCATGGAGGACGCAACATGGACTATTTGTTGGTACAAGCAACACTCACATTGCTGATCGTAGCCTGCATACAAAACCCATGATACAAAATACCTCAGTGATACCCAAGGCAGCTTACATTCAGAGAAAAAAAAAATAAAAAAAATGCTAAACAAAATACATGTAATCGTTATACAATCTTCATCTGGGCACTGGTTTGGTCCCAGGCTTGATGCCTGACTAGTGAGCGGATGTCACAACTGTCGTTCGCGAATCTGTTAAGATGACAAACGACAACTGTGACATCCATCCACTCCACAGGCATTATATCAAGGACCAAATAAACTATCTGCACAGTGTAGAGCTTTATCTACAAGGATAAAGTTTTTCCAAGGGTCGGCTCGTGGGGTCACGGAAGGATTTGGCAATCGAAAAGCTGAGACGAGTGTTGTAGAGTCTCAGCGACATAGGTTTGCCCTGGGTACAAGAGCTCTTAGCGTGAGCGAAAATCGTGACGTGCGTACGTGCTTGTTGGATGAAAGTATTCCGGCCTGATGCCAGTGATGTGCGCATCGCAATTAGTGGGACTAGTGCATACCCACGGGAGCAGACGTGTGATGGACCCATATCATGGCTGACTAGGGGACATGTCGCACGACAATAGCAGCGAGGCGTGACGTGTTACAACAATGTCGTACTCTAGCAGTATCGGTCTGCAGCGCAGTAAGGTTGTAGCATAGGCCGTCCGCGGACTAGACATGGCCTGGTGGTTCATCGCTTTGACGTGCCGCCCTGAACCAGCGTGGAGGAGCCACCCGAACCCTCGAATGCGCACTGCCTGGTCATGTTTGGAAATATGACAGACAAGATACAAGCCAGAAGATGTTGTGATCTACCAGATGGTGTATGTATGTCGAGTTGACCTTAAGCGCGAGCTTGGGTTTACCGATCTTCTGGAAGCGCCCGCAATGACGTTTACTACTCACAGTAGTACTGGAGACCATGATTTGCCTGGGTATTGTTCCGTTGAACGACGAGTAAGGCATTCTTGCAATGGGCGCTCAATCACAACATGGGCACATCGGTGACCAAGCCCTCCGTCGACTCCGATTCTGCGTCTTGGTCTGAGTACGCTTCTGAGTCCGCTCAAACTGTCGAATAGCGGCCCCCAATTCAGGTTTGTCCTTGGGAATACTCGTTTGGGTTTTGAGCCACCAGATGTACTGAGAGGGTACTTCCGCCACCGTCTTTCCTTCATGCTTGCCAAACGTGAATCTGTATTCTCCCTTGCGCGGAGTCCCGATGGGTGGGTGGTGGCGTTCGTACTCTGCGACGCCTGCAGCGAGTGTCTCGTTTGTTTCGGTGAACCCCTTGCTTTTCAGGAAGGCCATGTAGTCGGGAGGGACTTCGGCGATGGTTTTGCCTTCGTGCTTGCCGAAGTCGAAACGGTATGGTTGTTTGCGGGGTGGAGGTTGAGACGTGGGAGGCTGCTGAGCAGGTTGTGAGGCAGAGAGCTGCGGTGCGGGAGGTTGCGAACTATTCGGCATGTCGCCCTTGCAGAGGGAATAATGGCTAGGCGCAGTAGAAGGAGGAGGCGGAGCCTGCTGTGGTTGGCTCATCTGTGGGAGCTGACTAGATGCAGGCGGTTCATGTCCCATATATGGGCCAGGTGTAGATGATGCCGGTGGCAGAGCCTGGGATGAATCGTGAGCCGACGCCGTCGTCCTCATAGCGACCGGAGGTAGACCCTTCTGCATCAAGCCGAGCGCATCAGACAAACCAGGCAAAGTGGCCAATTTGTCTTCGCTCGCACCAAGATAGTAGAGGTAGTCCTCTGGTACCTCAAGCAGAGTCTTGCCTTTGTAATCGCCGAAAGGGAGGACGTATAGAGGTGCGTCATGCGATTCTTGAGGTACCGTGGGCTGTGATGAAGGAGGAGGTGGTTGCTGTAGGGCAGGTGGTGGTGACGGCGAACGAGATGGCGAAGGAGGATTTGTGTATTTAGAGACATGCGAGCTCGATAGCACAGGTTGTGACGACGGAGGCGGAGCCTGGTAGGCTTGAGATGATTGTGTAGCTTGCGTCTGCGACGACATCGACATCTGCGACGCTTGCGATTGCGATTGCGATTGCGACGACGCCGTAAGCCTCCCTGCCTTCTCATCTTCCCATTCTTTCAGCGCATCCGTGAACTCAACCGGCCTACTCGGGATGGGATTCCTAATCAACCACCTCACATAGGAGTCAGGTATCTCCGCAAGCGTCTTGCCTTCGTGTTTGCCAAACGTCATACGATAGGGTTCGGCCTCGAATGAGGGCGGTGGCGTTGAGCCACTTCGAACCCACCAAGCCTGTGTTGAAGCTGGGGGCTGAGGAGCTTTCACGGGCGATCCGTTGTACGATGACGGCGGCGTTGAAGCGGCTTGGTGCCATTGCTGGAGGGTGATTTCATTTGATTTATCATAGGACGATGGTGGAGTAGGAGCTGTATTGATATGAAGTGGCTTTAGCGCAGGTCGTGGTATTTGCGCAGAGGAAGGGGGAGCTTGCTGCGACGAGACAATCTCATCGACGGCATCTGCGACGTCGGAGTCAATGTCCGATCCGTAGTCGGATGACATTGTGCGCATGCGATATCTATATTGCGACAGGAACTGGATTGAGGGTAGATGAGATGGTGGGTAGGTGGGTTGGTGGACTGATGACGTTGGGCTGCAGCAGCGAACGTGTGGAGCTTGGGGGGTTTCGGGATGACGGAAGGAGCTTCAACGGTTCAGGGTGGTGCACGGTTGCGTACTTCAGTTAGATCCCGCTGCCACCCAGGAACAAAATCTTCTTATTAACGCAAATTTCAAGAATTACTTCCTAGGTCCTCTGTATCGAAACAATGCACGCGGTGCTCCGCAGTTCACTTAAACGCCCTTTCCCCACCCCAATTCATTCCCGAGGTCTCTTGACGCCAACGCCCCTTCACACTCCCTAACCTCTCAAGCCACAGCAACCTTCTCCGTCTGACTAATGATATACCACGCGTGAATGACACCAGGGATCCAGCCGAGAATGCAAAGTGCGATGTTGATGAAGAGATCAGCGGCGCAACCACGCTTCATAGCGACGGGCAGGAAGGGGATCCATATTGCGAGGAAGTAGAGGAGGACTGTTGACTGTAGTTGATTGTCAGAGTCGAAGAAGGGAGAGGCATGGGAATGGGGTCATGAGGATGGGGGGACGGACTGTGCTTGATGGCATTGTGCGCGTGTTATTAATCCGTGTTGATGTGCTAGGTTGTCGTGTTTCTTCCTCGTGAAGATACTCTCGTGGTTATAGTAGGACTGGAAACTGAAGGTGTGGCTGTCCGCTGTGGCTGAACGAAAAAGTGGGCGAACCCTTATACTTTTAAGTGTTCTCCTACCACCAAGTCCCAGCTCGCAGCAGCTTACGACGCAGACGCGGACCGAAAACAGGGTATCGGCACATTCCTCGTCCACATAATTCGACTAAGCCGCCGTACTAACCGTCCACCAAGCCTCTGTTCCTGGAGTGGGCAGCGAATGAGACAGTCATGCGCCACAGTGACGATGCATGCTGTGGCGCAGGTATCAGCCTCGAGGCCGTGCGCTGTGGTGTTGAGGCTAGACTGGGTGACAGGCTTCCGAAAAGTGCCGGTAGCCGTGGTAGCCGCGTACTAGGTATGCAGGGGAGGGTACTCTGTCCGCATGCAAAGTGCAGTGATAGAGATTCAATCCCCGGATGCAGTGCCAAGGGTAGCAAGTTCGTGCCTGGACGAACAGTTCGCGATGTTTGTGTAACCGGTGTTATAAACATGTCAAGGTCATGCTTGAGACTCTTCAGTGACGGTGCGTAGGATAGGATGGCCAGTGAATATACGACTTTTGATCCCGATGCGCATTGACTTGGAGACGACACGACGGCGTGTATAAGAATGCGAACTGTTGGTGGTTAGGTAGCGATATCGAAACTTCCGCGGCGCTGACGTGTAGAAGAGAAATGAGAATCCTAATTGTATTGCCATAGATCCTGGTTGGTGGGCTATATCACACCTAACGTATCAGACTTGAGTTGTGCGGATTGAACGACCTCATAAGACTGGAGACATCCGCGATCGATAAAGTGTTCTTCTCCGTTTCTTACTTCGGTAGCGTGCGTGAGAAGACGCGTTAGGTGTGTCTTCGAATAGATCATAACACTCGATATACCATAGTCCCATTAGATACGATCTTGTAAGCTGTCATCAGCCTAAACGAATAGTCCTCCTTTCCTTCAAGCGAAAACAAAGCGGCCAAGGTGTTGCAAAAGTAGAATCGCCTTTGTCTGCGATGAACCGGTAGGACAAATACCTTATTACCATATGTCCAACTCGTTCGTAATGATGCTCCTTCTTGTGAACGATCATGACAAAGATATCATCTCTGACATCATCAGATGGGAGAATTTCGCATCTGCCTAACACGATACCTAACAGACTACCTTGTTGAAGGTCTGGCACGTAGCTTTGCTGTGTAGGAAAGACTTTGTCGTACTGCTGATGCAATAAATACAGGGGAAGCCGAAGTGTTCTCTGATCGTCTTGGAATGTGGCAAAGTACCCAGAGTAATTCCCATCATATCGATGTGCTTCACGGGATTTTTTCCAGTCGCCCATCTCGTCGTCAGAGAGGTACTGGATATCGATAGGTATTATCCATGCTTCAATATGAATAAATTTGCTGGAGGAACCAGGTATGCCCGTGTCTAACGAGACGTCGCTTTGCTCATCCATGTCCGAAAGTGATCCATCATGATTTTCTATGAATACCTTCAATGGTCTTTCATTTTTGAGTTGAAGCCCTTCTATAAATGGTATAGTGTCGTAATTGATTGGCACAGTCCATCCAGCCCAACTCCATGTAGGGAACAAAGAACGCCTGGTACCTGATGCTGTGTTGCACCAGGAGAGCCCGACAGCGAAAGCCTCGCCCTTACCATATTCACGATATCCATCATCCGAGTGTAAGATAGGGATACCCAGGTATTGATAGACGGGATGCCTGTTGTTCCTGAAGCTATGGAACACTCCTTCAAATGCGCGTATTGCATCAGAGCCGACAGATAGCTCTCTCCCACAGAAATCAGTCAGACGAGAGCAGATCTTCCAGGGAGTATTCACTGCGTAGTCGATCTGATTGTCGAAAATTCCTCTTTGCTTGTCGCTGAGGCCTTTGACTGTCTCGAAAGCAAGACCAGCTCGACACTCATAATAGACTTGTTGCTCTGTGAAAACGATAAGTCGGGTGGAGAAAAAGCTCTCTTGATACGTCCATGCTCGATGCCACCATCTAGAAGCCTTGATGAGCGTCCGCGGGTCTGGCGGAGTGGATATAAGGCATCGTCCTCCAACCCAGGCACTTGGTCGGAGAGTTCTCGGGGTAGCGCCAACGCCAGGTAGGCCGAAATATGGATCAGTGCCTGCTGCAGCGACTATGGTCACGAACGCATTTTGATATATGAGGTCCATTTGCTGTATCTGGATTTGTTTCTCAGCATCGTCGTCTTGGTCGATGCAGTATCTGTCGATCCAGATATATCGAAGACCTAGCAATTTGCTGGCCTTGAAGGCATCTTCGATAGTGCGTGGCAGGGCTGTGGGAAGTTCATTATTGACACACTGATCATCGCCAGATCTGCCAGTACCCCACACATAGCTGAGTGCAGAATACTCGTATGTTGACAATGCTGGCACGATCCGTCGCTGTTCGCAGTCGATCAACTTCAGCTCTTTTGGACTCAGAGCTGATAGTTCAACTTCAGTGCACTGCCTCCAGCATGTGTGCTCTCGACCACAATGCTGTAGCCAACCTCGAATGATGTCGAAGTCGATCGAGGCTGCATCGAGAAGTCTCGCCCCTAGTGAATTCGCGTGGGGATCTGCCTTTGACGCGCTTGAACATGCAATGAAGCCGGAAGACGCTCGATCCATAAGCGTTGACAGCCGCACAGGATCCTCATACACAGCTAGTACTGTTCCATCCTTTATGTGGTAGGTGTCAGGAGGCTTTATGCAGTGCAGAGCGTAGTCTTTGGTACCAGCGCTACTTTGTATCCTCACCGCATGGAAAAGGCGACATAGTGAGCATGACGACAGCTCAGCTTCTATCCCAAGCTTTCCGAGAGTCATCAATTTTTTCATGCCTCGTCTCCCCGGATGGACGAAAAGGCTCTCGACATCAATGGATGAACATCGGGAGCAAAGGCTGCTCGATACTTGACACACTGTTTCGTCACGTGTTTCGGACGTATCTGCATGGCTCTGATAGTTGGCAGCCGGTGAGTCCACAGATTGTTTTCGCTTCCCTGAAGGATCCTCAGATGCACTCGTAACTTGTGCTCGCTCCATGCCGTGATGGGACCTTTGGGAGATGATTGGGATGAATGGTGAGAGGTGCGGGGCAGAAGTGCTCTCGAGGCCGTTGCCTGCTAGATACCTGCTGCGCCTGCCAGATGATAAGCGAAGTTTAGGTAAGCACATGCACGCCGCAGTCAGTGGCTTGTTTAGGCAGGTGCTGGTACTACCACTACGATTATTCCTACAGCTACTTTTACAATTATTTCTACATCTCATACTCTTACAACAAACCGTCCTGGTGTCGAATCCAGTATTTCAAGAAGCTCACCAGACACTGTACCATGAATAGCGTGGGTTTGCAACGTCGCACTTGCTATGTGAGTTACTTTGTCTAAATGGGCAGTCGCAATACTGTCTTAACGAGACCATGGACGGCGGTCATACTGGATACTCTTTCACGACGGCGTGTGGCAAGACGGACATGCGACACAAGGCCATCAAGTCCAACGCGCATCAAGACTACGTTGACAATACGGTGAGTGCATCGACGCAAACTCTAGCCGATCAGGTAGCAACATCGAAACTTCTCAACTTCGGCGACGGTGACGATGACGTAAGTAACCAGATTGGACGGTGAGGCTCTGTCATAACAGAGTGCAACAAGGATGAACGCTGGAGCGACTGGATATGACAACCGAAGAAAACCGAAAACTAAAAAAGACACGATGAGCGGTGTGGGTGGTTGGTGGGTGAGAAGCGGTGACGGACTTGACAGACAAAACATTAGGCATACAGGCAAGTTGGTGAACAGGGATATCTCGGCTTCGAATTTGATCTATTCTAGTCGATAGCCGCGCCTTACAAGCAAGGTCATTGTCGCCTGGGGGGGATGTAAAAAATTTGAACTATCCTAGGTGTTGTCGTGCGCGAGATGAGGTGGAAGGGGGG